AGAATACTTGGCTAGTTTAGATGTATTCAAGTCTCCAGGGCCAGATGAACTGCATCCAAGAGTATTAAAAGAACTGGCAGATGTGATCTCAGAACCACTGGCAGTCATCTTTGAGAATTCCTGGAGAACAGGCGAAGTCCCGGCAGACTGGAGGAGGGCAAATGTTGTCCCTATTTTCAAAAAGGGGAAAAGAGAGGACCCAAATAATTACCGCCCAGTCAGTCTGACATCAATACCAGGGAAGATTCTGGAGCAGATCATTAAGCAAACAGTCTGTGAGCACCTAGAAAGGAATGCTGTGATCACCAATAGTCAGCATGGATTTCTGAAAAATAAGTCATGTCAGACTAACCTGATCTCGTTTTTGACAGAATTACAAGCCTGGTAGATGAAGGGAACGCAGTGGATGTAGCCTACCTTGATTTCAGCAAGGCATTTGACAAGGTGCCTCATGATATTCTTGTAAAGAAGCTGGTAAAATGCGGTCTTGACTATGCTACCACTCAGTGGATTTGTAACTGGCTGACTGACTGAACCCAAAGGGTGCTCATCAATGGTTCTTCTTCATCCTGGAGAAGAGTGACTAGTGGGGTGCCACAGGGTTCTGTCTTGGGCCCGGTCTTATTCAACATCTTTATCAACGACTTGGATGATGGACTCAAGGGCATCCTGATCAAATTTGCAGATGACACCAAATTGGGAGGGTGGCTAACACCCCAGAGGACAGGATCACACTTCGAAACGACCTTGACAGATTAGAGAACTGGGCCAAAACAAACAAGATGAATTTTAACAGGGAGAAATGTAAAGTATTGCACTTGGGCAAAAAAATGAGAGGCACAAATACAAGATGGGGGACACCTGGCTTGAGAGCAGTACATGTGAAAAGGATCTAGGAGTCTTGGTTGACCACAAACTTGACATGAGCCAACAGTGTGACGCGGCAGCTAAAAAGCCAATGCAATTCTGGGCTGCATCAATAGGAGTATAGCATCTAGATCAAGGGAAGTAATAGTGCCACTGTATTCTGCTCTGGTCAGACCTCACCTGGAGTACTGTGTCCAGTTCTGGGCACCACAGTTCAAGAAGGACATTGACAAACTGGAACGTGTCCAGAGGAGGGCAACCAAAATGGTCAAAGGCCTGGAAACGATGCCTTATGAGGAACGGCTAAGAGAGCTGGGCATGTTTAGCCTGGAGAAGAGGAGGTTAAGGGGTGATATGATAGCCATGTTCAAATATATCAAAGGATGTCACATAGAGGAGGGAGAAAGGTTGTTTTCTGCTGCTCCAGAGAAGCGGACACGGAGCAATGGATCCAAACTACAAGAAAGAAGATTCCACCTAAACATTAGGAAGAACTTCCTGACAGTAAGAGCTGTTCGACAGTGGAATTTGCTGCCAAGGAGTGTGGTGGAGTCTCCTTCTTTGGAGGTCTTTAAGCAGAGGCTTGACAACCATATGTCAGGAGTGCTCTGATGGTGTTTCCTGCTTGGCAGGGGGTTGGACTCGATGGCCCTTGTGGTCTCTTCCAACTCTATGATTCTATGATTCTATGATTCTATGATTCTATGATTCTATGACACACCACAACACATTATTCCAATGCCTAACCGCCACCCGAGCCCAAAAAGGCTCGCCGCCAATACCCTCACAGCTGTAACCAATCCCTGATGCTTCTGCTGATGCTATTTAACCAAATGTCATTCCCTTGGTCTGAAAGATGAACCCCATCATTCCGGTACAAGGCCTGATCGCCAATCCGGATATGGTCGTGAAAAATGACTCGGCCATTCATAAAGCACACCCAACGGGCTATTGCACGATTTAAGAGTTTCCTGGATTTTTCAATGGCCATACAGTTCTGCGCACCGCGCCAAACAATTCTCTTCAGGAAGGAGGACCAGAACACTGTTGTTCCGGGACACAAGGCAGCAATCTCATCCAAATCTCTTTTTATGTTCCACGACAAGTCCGCACTTCTTCTGTTAACAAGGTCATTTCCCCCTAATTGAAGGATAAGGATGTCGGGAGGGCCAAACATGGCGACTTTCTCCCTCAGCAATGGCACAAGCTCTTCCCAATGCATGCCACGTCTCGAAAACCAGGAAACTCGCACTCCAGGTGGCAACCCAAGACTAGGGGTGAGGCCGCAGCTAGCCGACATGGGCCCAATGGACTATACTGTGGCCACAAATCCAAACACTTTTTCTGAGAACGGGTGAGAATAAAGGAAAGAGAAAGACGGGTAAGTAGAGGTAATGCAGCGGAGCGCATACTAGCGAATGTAACCTTTATAAGCATCGGATTTCCACCGGCCCATTTCTTTAATCCTATCCGAGAGTGCCGCTGTTGTGGTGGCACCAATCCTGAATGAGTGTGCAGCATAATCCTGGGAAGATAAACCACAGGCATCAATAGCTTTGCGGAGCACCCTTGTGAATTGGTGTCTCAACAAAGGTGACCCATCCTCGTGAACCAGGAGCAGGCCAGGACCAGGCAGTCTGAGGTAAACGTACCATCTAGTGTCCTTGACCGGGCATGGGCCCCGCTGCGCTGAAGCTGTAAGTTTTACAAGGGAACCCCTACCTGTCTGATCCGTTTTGGATTGATGTATCCACACCGTCGTGCTAGCTTCGGACAACTGCACGTCCTCCGTGAGGAGGCTGTGCGTTGACCCAGTTGCATTAACCTCGGCTACTACTTCACCGACCCTCAAGGTGCCAAAAGGCGATCGCATATGCAGTGGGGAAAAAAGGCGGGCCTCAAACTTGGTCCAGCAGATTGACCTAAACTTTGTGCATATCTGAGAGAGCAGCCCGTAAGGAATTGGCTTAGCATATGCTGCGGAAAAGAGGCGGGCCTCAAACTTGGTCCAACAGATCGACTTAAGCTTTATGCGTATTTGAGAGAGCAGCCTGTAAGAAATTGGCTTATGGCCCTCGGCTCTAGGGGGTTGCAGCTTACCCCAACCTTCAATAGCTCTGCGGATCAGGAAGTCACTGCACGGGTCGGAGGAAAACATGGCTTTACAAAGAAGCTGATGGCGGCTACGTGTATCTTTAACATTTTGGGGGCCCGGCCTAGGAGGCTATAACGTATGCCGCAGAGAACACCCGGGCCTCGAACTTGGACCAGCAAATTGACCTAAGTTCATATGGATTTGGGACAGCAGCTCGTAAGAAATAGGCTTGCGGCCTTTGTTACTTGGAGGCTGCAGTCAACTCCAACCTTCAGTTGCCCTGTGGACCATGAAGTCACAGCACGAATCGGTGGAAAAACATGGGTCTACTAAAGAATGTGATAGCAGCTATGTGTATCCTCAAAGTTTTCGAGGCTCAACCTAGGCCATGAAGGTGTGTTAAGTATTGCAGAACGTTTTCTGTGGAGGGTGTAACATTAGTGGAAAGGGAGGATACTTTGGACCTGAACCCCATGAAATCACACCAGACCTTCTTATATGATCTAAGCGTAGAGGGTGCGACAGATGCTAATACTCCCTTAATCACTTCACGTCTCCAAGGTTCCACAGGTGCTCCGGAACGGGTTCTGGCAGTGGCTGAGCCCTGGGAGCTAATGCTCGGAAGCGAGGCACTGGAGGACGAATGATTGGAGTAGGCGCGACACCCTCTCGGAACACGATGACTGTTTAGCCAGTATGTTGACCACTGCCTGGTTATCAGTTCTGAAGCACACCCGGCAATTCTGGAACTCCTCAGTCCAAATGTGAACAGCCACAACTAAGGGGAAAAAACTCCAGAAAAGTGAGATCCCACGTGATAGCCTCGCCTTGCTACTCTGCTGGCCATTGTTGAGCACACCAGCGTCCCCTAAAGAATAAACTGAAGCCCAAGGACCCAGCGGCATCAGTGAACCTGGAAATCTGAGGACAGGTTGAGGGGAGTCTTACCCTGTGGTGCGGTTTGTTTGTTTGTTTGTTTGTTATTTTATTTTATTTTATTTTTAAGGTTAGGTATGCACATAGGCCCCAAGACTCATTTTGTATCATGACTTTTAAACTTCTGATTTGTTTCTGATGACTCCTAGCTGATGACTCGTGATGGGATGACGAAAAGTGAGGCCGGAAGGCTGGTGCCGCAGCAATTTGGGCTGCTAAACACGCCCCCTCGCAGGCACCTGGTTGGGTGCCTGCCCGTGGGCGTAGGCCAGCCAGGTGAGTGGGAGGCAGGGGGCTAACGCCCCCTGCTTGAGGCGGAGTCCGGCTCCCGACCACAACCACTCCCCTCTCTTGCAGGAGGAGAGTCTTTGTGAAAAACATCTTCATGTATGCGACAACGGCCGCGAGAGTTTTAATAGCACAAGGATGGAAGACTGAAGAAACCCCAATTAAAGAAGCATGGCAAGAAAAATTGATGGACTATGCAGAACTGGCAAAACTGTCATACAAGCTATGGGACAAGGATAACTGTGACTTTAAAGATGAATGGGAACCCTTTAAAAAGTATTTGAAGACGCAACAAAGCGAACTGGATTCCTTGGCTGGTTTTGAATAAACATTCACAAACTTTTTATTGATAATTATTACTTAAATAGTTTGAGGATCTATACAACTGTGTAACATGCAGAAAACAGCATTTTTAGAGAAATCAAAGACTGGAACTGAGGGAAGTCGGGGGGTGGGTGGGTTCTGTGGGGGGAAGGAGGGGGAGGGAGAAAAAAGGGGGAAAATAAGGATGATATGTTTCTGGATATTATGTTTTGTTTTAATTTTGAATAAAAAAGTAATTTTTAAAAAAAGAATAATCATTGTGGGAGGCGAGCATGTGAAAAGTGCCCTTCCTTCAGGTAACCGCAAGGGTCCAGCAATGTGGTGGGGACAGGTGAGGGGTGAGTCATTTACCTGAGGGATACATCCCCCAGGCACTGCCTATGTGGGGCATTGCATCCTCAGCATAAATGTTTCCTTTGATTCAAGCTATCTCACTCTGAAGCATGAATACAGCACATCTGAATGTTTGTGATCTTCTGTGGAAACTGCTATGACTGACCGAATGCAGGAATGCCATTCCAGAGGCACGTGATTTTGGCAACGTTCTCTTCCACGTCAGCCTAGGTCACAACGACCCAAAGAAATTACAATTATGAAATCTTCTTCTCCCTACCTGCCCTCTCTTGGCAAGCTTTGGGGCTCCATTTAGTTTAAAAGCCGGCTTTGCCTGGCTTTGCCACCACAATTCATCCTGAGCCATGAAGATCCTTCACCTGGGCTTGGCAGTTCTCTCTTTGCTGCTCCTGGCTTCCCCAGGTAAGGGATGGAGGGGAAGAAGACAGAGGGACACCTGCCAGCCTATTATGGGGTGGAAGAGGGAGAGAAGTACAGTTGCTATTCTGTGCAATTGCTGATCTGTGGCCTTGCAAAGGAAGCTAACATTTCTTGCTAGAGACATTTCTTTAGTGGTAAATTTTGCGTAAAAATGTATATGTCAGACAAAATCGCCTACCAAAGTGTGTCTATTAGGGAAAATATGCACTGTGTTGCTGACTTTCCCCCATTATGCCCATCATTGCTATGCAATCTCCCCTAATATAACCTTTATTTTCATTCTGTTTTCATGAAGTTACACTTTTTCATGTGCAGTTGAGTAGACACATTTTTTAAAAAAACATTACTTGAAGGGAGAACTGCCTTTCAAAGGATGGCTGTGCTTTGATGTTCACATGTTAACTTTATTAAGGTGCAGTAATACATGGGAAAACTGCATCGCATGTAAAAGTGGTAAGGAAAAGCAAAAGTAGCCTCCTCTTTTCTCAGTTTGGTCAGATTTTATGGAATTCTATGCAATTCTATGGAATACATTTTAAAAAGTAAAATTTTGATTTGCCTCTTCCACAGGTCTTTCACTAAAATTGGCATATGTCGTGTCTAATTAGTGGGGAAATGTTTCTTGATGTAATATAGAGCCTTTTATTCTGGGTAGTCCTTGGGGCTCTGATGGCTTCAGTTCCAGGCTTTAGTTTCTCTATAACCTATAAGCCATGTGTGCCTCACTTCTTGCTGTCGTGTTTCGTAGACTGACACCCTCCACTCATGAGCAAATAGCTGGATAAGCAGATTGACCATTTCTTCTTGTGAATGTAGCAAGGGTGGTAAACACCAGTGGCCAGTGGCAAGGGGTGGGGTGGGGGTAGGAGTTGGGATCCCACAGCACCCAGAGCGTCACAGAGCCACTCCTGTTCAAAGGGCTGTGGAGTTGTTCCTCTCTTTCATCCAGTTGTGAATTAACTTCCTTCTCCCCACTTATGTTTGTTTCTCTCTTTGCACAGGATCTGCACAAGACGATGAACCTAATAATGGTAGGCAATGCCGTAAAGCCAAAGGATTTTGTGGCTTTCTTTCTGCCTATTGTGAATTAACTTCCTTCTTCACACTTACGTTTGTTTCTCTCTTTGCACAGGATCTGCACAAGACGATGAACCTAACAATTATGACGAGTGTGGAAATAGCAACGGTATTTGCATAGATGGAGGTTGTCCAGATAATTCTCAAGAGATTGGAATGTGTGATGATTATCTGTTCTGTTGCAGAAGGTAATTTCTTCTTGCCAAAGGAGAATTACACCTCCTGCCCCTCTCCCTTCAGCCTCTGGATTGATCATTTTTTCATTTCATTTCATTATTTCATTTCATTTCATTTTAATGTTTGATGCATTACTGTATTTTATTATTTTGTTGGAAGCCACCCAGAGTGCTGAGGAAGCCCAGCCAGATGGGTGAGGTATAAATAATAAATTATTGTTATTACTATTATTATTATTATTATTATTATTATTATTATTATTATTATTTGGAGCCTCTGATTTGGGTGGCTGCCACCCTAAATTGACACCCCTTCTCAGACTGAGGCTAAGGGACCCACAGAACTAAGAAATTAGTTTCATTACGTACAACCTGGAAAACTTTAGGATGGCTTGTCACAATTAACTATTGATCAGTCTGCATGTTTACAATAATCTGTCTGATTCCAGTTTAACATCCTTTAACGTAGCATTCATCCGCTGTTAAAATCCATTGGACTTTTCCATCACAACCCTCTTATATCCAATTTGTTAATTACATATATTACTTTCATAGATCAATGAGTACCAGCTACCTGCTCCATTAATTACCCAAAGCATTGTTTACCTAAATAGTTAATTGCTCCACATACCAAATGCAGAGTCCCCTAAGTTGATCATCCTTTGCCTGCAAGCTCGATTGCTCCATTGCAAAACAAGGACAAAAAAATCTATGGCAGAATCAGCCAAGGGTGGCACATCCCATTTTGCCGCTTGAGGTGAAGTAAGAATTGCTTCTTTGCCATGCCACCAGCACGGCTCCTAAGCCCATCTACCTGCTCCTCCTTCCATGGCCTGATCTGCCACTGACACACACCATACCCTGTTGATTGCAGGCACAGAAGCGGCACTACCATTGTTGCCCATTTTAAGCAAGTTGGTGCTGAGTTCTTTCACCACAGGCAGAACCAGCGGGGCAGGAGGGGCACCAATGGGTTTATTGTCTGAGGGGCTTCTGCCACCAGAAGCAGGGTCCTCACCTGCCTCATGGCTGGTCCAGCTGTCTTTGGCCCCTTTGCCCTGTGAGCTTATGCCAGTTCTCCTTTGCCAAATCCCTAAACCACACCGTATCTTACTGCTCCTGCTGCTATGGCCTGCTCTGCCACTGCCACACAATCTACCCTCAATGGCAGAGAAGCAGCACAGCCATCGTTGCAAATTTTAAGCAAGTAGGTGCTGTGGTGCTTCACCACTGGAAGAGCCAGTGGGGCAGGAGGGGGATCAAGGAGTGTGTGGTCTACAGGGCATCTATCACCTGAAACACGGTCCTCACCTGCCTCATGGCTGGTCCAGCTCTGCAATCAGCTGTGTATTTCTGATGTAAAGAATTAGAAAGAAGAAATTTTGTCCTGGGTCATTGCAGAGAAATTTGCAACTGGACTGAACGAACCTCAGGGTGCCAGTATCTCCCGTGTTTCTCAAAACATCGTCACAAAATGGTGAGCAAGCTTCCTGTTTCCCCAGAACTCTTCCTCAGGGCCACAAAGACAAGAAATCCCTGCCGTGCATAACATCCAGTCTGCAGGAGAATATTGGAGACCTTGAAAGCTTGCTCACTATTCTGTGACATATTTAATTGTACCTAGAAAAGAAAGTCCCTCAAGGGTAAGGATGGGCAAGAGATTGGATTCAATTCTCATCGAAAGGTGAATCTATGTAATTCATAGTTTCTGGAAATAAAAAAATGAAACAGACCTATCCCTACCCAATGGCTTATTATCATGAAATCTTTCTTGTGGTCCAACATGCCTTGCTTTGTATTTTCGTGTCTCAAACATGGTCACCTTGCTGTTGTCTTTTTGTTTCTGGTTTCTACATTTTAGACGGGAGGAGTGATAGATGCCTTTGAAAAATGGAAGATGCTCCCTCTCTTTGAGAGCCGCTGGATCCCGCTTGATCCCCAGCTAGGGACTTGTTCTCCAAAGCATCCAGATTGAAAAAAGCAACATTTTCAAGGCTTACATGAGCCTGTGCCTTGCAATAAAAGCAGATCCAAAAGCCTTTTCCCCTCTGTTTTTCATTTCTAAGCATAAGTGTTCTTGCTAGTGAAGCCAAAATGGCACCTTACGTCCATGAGAAGGAGGTGTCAGCAGGCATGGTTTGTGGAGAGGCCCAAAACATCATTAGAAAGGAAGACTAAAAGGGTGTGAGGATCCCTCAAAACAGTCTAGTGAGGAGGACTGGGCCACAATGTGGAAAATGAAGAGTGACAAAATATGGAGGGTAGAATGAGAGGGAGAAGAAGTTCAGTTCTGCTTCCATTTAAATGGTAACCAACCTGAGTTGCACTCTTTTAAAAAGTATGCCAATTGAAATATAGTCATCCTTCAAAGTCCACAGGTGTCTGAATTTTGGGATTATTGAACTGACCAGACCAGGTCTGGAATCTTCCTCTTAAAGGCCACCACCCAGACCTTACCTGGTATAATACTGAGTCCAGTCAGGGTTAAGTTGGAACATAAACTTCTGTTTATTTATTGCAATTTAACAAGCGTGTGGTTTCATAAACGGTCTCAGTGAATTACAATCATGGGGTGCCTATCCAGACCTATAACTTCTGCTACCTGCTCTTACTTACTAAACCACCTCTCAGATATTTACTTGTCTTCCTGGCTCCTAACTGTCCCTGACTCAGCTTATTTCGCTACACTAATTCAACCTACCCACAGACTATCCCAATTCACTTCCACTCCAACCAACCTCCCAACGAACTCCTCCCTTTGCCCCTCCCAGAGCTGGTTTTATAGTCCCTCTGACTCCACCCCCCTGGGTTCTGATTGGTTAACCTGTTTAACTATTTCACCTCCAGCACTCTCATATGTTAACGTCACAGGAAGTAGCCCAGGCTTTTGCAGAAACTAGCTCCACCAAGCCCACTCATTACAGTATATTAGGCATAATTGCATGCACATGTGCCTACCGGGAAGAATTCTTCATCCTAGGATCCCATGGCACCCAGTCTGGTGAGATAAGAGAATGCAAATAATAATAATAACAATAACAATAACAATAACAATAACAATAATTTATTATTTCTACCCCACCCCTCTGGCTGCGTTCCCCCAGCCACTCTGGGCGGCTTCCAACTGAATATTAAAATGCAATAACCTATTAAACATTAAAAACTTCCCTAATCAAGGCTGCCTTCAGATGTCTTCCAGAAGGCCCTCGGCGCTAGACCTCAGTGTCTGGGCAGAACGATGGGGGTGGAGACGCTCCTTTAGGTATACTGGACCAAGGCTGTTTAGGGCTTTAAAGGTCAACACCAACACTTTGAATTGTGCTTGGAAATGTACTGGAAGCAAATGTAGGTCTTTCAAGACTAGTGTTAAATGGTTTCGGCAGCCGCTCCCAGTCACCAGTCTAGCTGCCGCATTCTGGATTAGTTGTAGTTTCCAGATCACCTTCAAAGGTAGCCCCACACAGAACGCATTGCAGTAGTCCAAGCGAGAGATAAGTAGAGCATACACCACTGATGAGACAGTCTATGGCCAGCTAGGGTCTCAGCCTGCGTACCAGATGGAGCTGGTAAACAGCTGCCCTGGACAGAGAATTGACCTGCTCCTCCATGGACAACTGTGAGTCCAGAATGATTCCCAGGCTGCACACCTGGTCCTTCAGGGGCACGGTTACCCCATTCAGGACCTGGGAGTCTTCCATACCCGCCCGCCTCCTGTCCCCCCAAAACAGTACTTCTGTCTTGTCAGGATTCAACCTCAATCTGTTAGCCGCCATCCATCCTCCAACCACCTCCAGACACTCACACAGGACTTTCACCGCCTTCACTGGTTCTGATTTGAAAGAGAGCTAGAGCTGGGTATCATCCGCATACTGGTGAACACCCAGCCCAAACCCCCTGATGATCTCTCCCAGCTGCTGCATGTAGATGTTGAAAACATTTGCCCTCAGATCTGTGGACCAGACCCGGAGGCAGGGATAGTCCTCAAACAACGACTAAACCTGCCTCTTCAGTAATAACATAGTCTGGTCTTAGCGTAACTTCTCCTCCTACCCCTAATCACTGAGATTGGTTCTCCCAGTACACCCCCCCCCCCCGTGGAACCTGCCTCAGCCATTTTGTTGGATGGTCTGCCCCCGCCACTTAATGGATCCAAATGGTTTCCAGAGAGTGGCAGGGGATGCTTTATCTCATGTTGATGGCCTTTCAGCTGATTCCCTGGTGGCCCGCTGGAATGTGGAGTTAACCAGGGCTATTGACTGTTTGGCTCCGAAGCGCCCTCTCCGATTGCATGGTTTTCCACAGATCTGAGGGCAATGAAACAATCGCTGAGATGGCTAGAGCGCCAGTGGCGGATAACTCATTCTGAAGCTGACCGAACACGGGTTAGAGCTCAATGTCGAGCCTACCAAGTGGCGGTAGCGATGGCAAAGAGGACTTTCTTCTCCGCCTCTATTGTATCTGCAAAAAACAGCAGCAGGAGATTCTTTCAGGTGGTTTGCAATTCAGCGGAAGCACCTGCTACATCAGGGCCCAGTATGGGCCACATGATCTCCTGCAATGATTTTGCAAAGTTTTTTGCAGATAAAGTCACTCAGATTCAAGAAGAGATAGACTTCACCGTGGGAGTAGGTCCAGGGCAGGAGAGTGCTAGAGTCCTGTCTAGTCAAGTTGCGTGGGATCAATTCCAATCTGTTACCTCTGAGGATGTGGACAGGCTGCTTGGATGAGTGAAGCCAACCACCTGTCTCATTGATCCTTGGCCATCCTGGCTTATAAAAGCTAGCCCTGGACACAGAATTGACCTGCTCCTCCATGGTAAGGGCTGGGCGATGGACTTCGTGGGGTGGTGAATGCTTCTCTCTGTGAGGGAACCTTCCCAGATGGGCTGAAAGAGGCAGTTAGGAAACTACTTCTTAAAAAAACCATCTTTAGATGCTTCCAATATGGCCAACTATCACTCAGTCTGAAATCTTCCATTCTTGGGCAAGGTGATTGAGAGAGTGGTTGCTGAACAATTCCAGGCATGCCATTTGGATCCCTTCCAGTCAGGATTCAGGCCTCATCATGGGACTGATACTGCCTTGGTCACAATGGTCTAGGATCTCCGGCGGGCTAGGGACAAAGGTGAGAGCTGTTTCCTAGTTCTCCTGGATCTCTCAGTGGCTTTTGACACCATCGACCATAAGATCCTTCTGGACCGTCTAGAGGGGCTGGGAGCTGGGGGCACTGTTATACAGTGGTTCTGCTCCTTCCTCCTGGGCAGTGTTCAGAAAGTGGTGGGGGGGAATGAGTGTTCAGACCCCGGGGCTCTCACTTGTGGGGTGCCTCAGGGTTCTGTCCTCTTGCCCATGCTTTTCAACATCCACATGCAGCCGCTGGGAGGGATCATCAGGGGGTTTGGGCTGGGTGTTCATCAGTATGCGGATGATACCCAGCTCTAGCTCTCTTTCAAATCAGAACCAGTGAAAGCAGTGAAGGTCCTGTGTGAGTGTCTAGAGGCGGTTGGAGGATGGATGGCAGCTAGCAGATTGAGGTTGAATCCTGACAAGACAGAATTACTGTTTCGCCACAATGGCCTATGCTGCACCTTTATGGGCTGCCTTTGCAAACCTTTCACCTTTAGAGTCGCTTCAAAGCCAATTCTTGCGCCGACTTTTAAAACTACCAACATGCGTAAGTAATGCGGCTATTCGCTTAGAAATGAAGATCCCCTCAGTGGAGTTAGTTTTATGGAGGAGAGTTTTGATTTATTGGATATCCCTATGGCATAAACTACCGAACCACTATCTCATTCAATGCATGTGGCGGGATGACTTTACAAATTTGTGGTCAGGAAAATCCATGCCAAATTGCTGTCCTATGAGATCTCGCCCACGGAATTGCTCAAACTGGATCTAAACGCGGCAAAAAGGTGTATAAATCAAAGGCTGGATGATGTGGAGCTATACCAAAATTTCTTAGCTGGTGGTGGAGCCTGCTCCCCGTTAAATCTCGGTATAACCCCTATCTATCGTGCTCCGTCCTACTTAACATCGCTTATAGCCACATCTCACCGATATGCCTTCATTAGAGCCAGGTTCAATGTTTTCCCAACAAACGTGCTGAGACATAGATTCACTAAGGGCCAAGTCCCTTCAATGTGTGCTTGTGAAATGAAAACATCTGAATCTTTACATCATGTTATGTTTATCTGCCCTATGTACAGTTTAGCTCGCGCTAGTATACTAAACTCCATAATCCAGCCTATGGCTGACAAACCAGTAGACCTACAGCTTGCCTGGGTTCTTCAAGATGTAGATCCTTATATTACTCTACAGGTTGCTAAATTCCTAACAGCCGTTCTCTCGTACAAGAGACGGAATGGAATGCTAACTGATTATTGATACTTATAAGAATTTTTGATATTGATATCAGAAATTGATTTAGCGTAGTGCCCAAATTTTTAACTTTAATCTTAAATTTCTGTTTTGATTTGCCAATATTTGTCCTTGTGAGCTGTGAATTGTGTTTTATTACTTGTGGCTTGTTCGAGACCGCTGTTTTATTTGATTTGTTTTGTGTGTTGTGCTTTATGATGGGCGTAAAGCCGAATAAACATTTTGGTTGGTCAATTGAATTACTGTTTTGGGGGGACAGGAGGCGAGCAGGTGTGGATGACACCCTGGTCCTGAATGGGGTAACCGTGACCCTGAAGGACCAGGTGTGCAGCCTGGGAGTCATTCTGGACTCACAGCTGTCCATGGAGGAGCAGGTCAATTCTGTGTCCAGGGCAGCTGTATATCAGCTCCATCTGGTACGCAGGCTGAGACCCTAGCTGGCCATAGACTGTCTCACCAGAGTGGTGCATGCTCTAGTTATCTCTTGCTTGGACTACTGCAATGCGCTCTATGTGGGGCTACTTTTGAAGGTGATCTGGAAACTACAACTAATCCAGAATGCGGCAGCTAGACTGGTGAATGGGAGCGGCCGCCGAAATCATATATTACTGGTCTTGAAAGACCTACACTGGCTCCCAGTACGTTTCCAAACACAATTCAAAGTGTTGGTGCTGACCTTTAAAGCCCTAAATGGCCTCAGTGAAGTATACCTAAAGGAGCATCTCCACCCCATCGTTCTGCCCGGACACTGAGGTCCAGTGCTGAGGGCCTTCTGGCAGGTCCCTCGCTATGAGAATCCAAGTTACAGGAAACCAGGCGGAGGGCCTTCTCGGTAGTGGCACCCGCACTGTGGAACGCCCTCCCACCAGATGTCAAAGAGAAAAACAACTACCAAACTTTTAGAAGACATCTGAAGGCAGCCTTGTTTAGGGAAGTTTTTAATGTTTAATAGGTTATTGTAGTTTAATATTCTGTTGGAAGCCACCCAGAGTAGCTGTGGAAACCCAGTCAGATGGGTCTGGTATAAATAATAAATTATTGTTATTGTTTTATTGTTATTGTTATTGTTTGCATTTTCTTATCTCACCAGACTGGATGCCATGGGATGGTAGGATGAAGAATTCTTCTTGGTAAGCACATGTGCATGCAATTATGCGTAATAATAATAATAATGAGTGGGCTTTGTGGGGCTAGTTTCTGTAAAAGCCAGGGCTACTTCCCATCCTGTAATCCTGTAGCTGGAGGGGCCTAGAATCTATAAGAAGAAGCTTCCAGATCTGGTCTGGTCTGTTCAATAATCCCAAAATTCAGACACCTGTGGGTTTTGAAGGATGACTATATTTCAACTGGCAAACTTTTTAAAAGAGTGCCACTCAGGTTGGTTACCATTTAAATGGAAGCAGAACTGAACTTCTTCTCCCTATCATTCCACCCCCCCATATTTTGTCACTCTTCATTTCCCACATTGTGGCCCAGTCCTCCTCACTAGACTGTTTTGGGGGACCCTCAGCCCCTTTTAGTCTTCCTTTCTTATGACGTTTTGGGCCTCTCCACAACCATGCCTGCTGACACCTCCTTCTCATGGACGTAAGGTGCCATTTTGGCTTCACTAGCAAGAACACTCATGCTTAGAAATGAAAAACAGAGGGGAAAAGGCTTTTGGATCTGCTTTTATTGCAAGGCACAAGCTCAGGTAAGCCTTGAAACTGTTGCTTTTTTCAATCTGGATGCTTTGGAGAAGAAGTCCCTAGCTGGGGATCAAGCGGGATCCAGCGGCTCTCAAAGAGAGGGAGCATCTCCCACTTTTCAAAGGCATCTATCACTCCTCCCGTCTAAAATACAGAAACCAGAAACAAAAAGACAAGAGTTAACTCAGTTTCATAGCAAAGTGACCATGTTTGAGACATGAAAACACAAAGCAAGGCATGTTGGACCACAAGAAAGTTTTCATGATAATAAGCCATTGGGTAGGGATAGGTCTGTTTCAGTTTTTCATTTACAGAAACTATGAATTACAAAGATTCACCTTTCGATGAGAATTAAACGCAGTGTCTCAGACACCCCTACCCCTGGGGGACTTTCTTTTCTAGGTACAATTAAATATGTCACAGAATAGTGAGTGAGCTTGCAAGGATTCCAAAATTCTCCTGCAGACTGGATGTTATGCACGGCAAGGATTTGTTGTCTTTGTGGCCCCAAGGAAGAGTTCTGGGGAAATAGGAAGCTTGCTCACAATTTTGTGACAATGTTTTGAGAAACACGGGAGAACTGGCAGCCTTGGGTTCATTCAGTCCAGTTGCTAATTTCTCTGTATGCACCCAAGACAAAAGTCTACTGCCTCAGGTTCTTTCTTTAAAAGATAAAATAATAATGAATCTGCTTGGAATTGAAAGTGGGAGATTTGCATGGAATGTATGGGATGTGAAACTGAGGTAATCTTAAATGGTGGAGGGCAGGACACCACACAGAGTAAGAGCCCAGCATCTGTTAAAGCTGCAGAATGGACATCCCTTAGGCACTGAGATAAACAATGGATGAAGCTGCACAACAAATTAAATGTGCCCATACGGTGTGGTTTAGGGATTTGGCAAAGGAGATCTGGCATAAGCTCAGAGGGCAAAGGGGCCAAAGACAGCTGGACCAGCCATGATGCAGGTGAGGACCCTGCTTCTGGTGGCAGAAGCCCCTCAGACAATAAACCCATTGGTGCCCCTCCTGCCCTGCTGGTTCTGCTTATGGTGAGAGAACTCAGCACCATCTGGCTTAAAATGGGCAACAATGGTAGTGCAGCTTCTGTGCCTGCAACCAACAGGGTATGGTGTGTGTCAGTGGCAGATCAGGCCATGGCAGGAGGAGCAGGTAGATGGGCTTAGGAGCCGTCCTGGCAGAATGGCAAAGCAGCCATTACCATTTTGCATCAAGCAGCAAAATGGGATGTGCCACCCTTGGCTCATTCTGGCATAGGTATTTTTATTTTTATTTTTGCAATGGAGCAATTGAGCTTGCAGGCAAAGGATGATCAGTTTAGGGCACTCTGCATTGGGTACCTAAAATGATCAATCCAGAGGCTAATGGGAGAAGTGCAGGAGGTGTAATACTCTTTTGGTAAGCTGAAATTACCTTTGGCAACAGGAATAATAATCACTACACCTTCCAATCTTCTTAGTATTATTGGGACAACCCAATACCATTGGGAAGCAAATACCATTGGTTTTAAAGCATTGCCTTCTATTCTGAGGTTCATCGTCTTGTGCAGATCCTGTGCAAAGAGAGAAACAAACATAAGTGGGGAGAAGGAAGTTAATTCACAATAAAATGAAAGAGAGGAACAACTCCACAGCCCTTTGAACAGGAGTGGCTCTGTGACGCTCTGGGTGCTGTGGCATCCCAACTCCTACCCCCCACCCCACCCCTTGCCACTGGCCACTGGTGTTTACCACGCTTGCTACATTCACAAGAAGAAATGGTCAATCTGCTTATCCAGATATTTGCTCCTGAGTGGAGGGTGTCAGTCTACGAAACACGACAGCAAGAAGTGAGGCACACATGGCTTATACGTTATAGAGAATCTAAAGCCTGGAACTGAAGCCATCAGAGCCCCAAGGACTACCCAGAATAAAAGGCTGTATACTACATCAAGAAACATTTCCCACTAATTAGAAACTTTATACCCCAAATTTATTGGCAGACCTGTGGAAGAGACAAATCAAAATTTTATTTTCTAAAACGTATTCCATAAATTTGCATAGAATTGAATAAAATCTAACCAAACTGAGAAAAGAAGAGGCTGCTTTTCTTGTTCCTTACCAGTGTTACATGCGATGCCATTTCCCATATATTAATAAAAAGGTAAAGGACTGTTTTGACAGTTAATTCCAGTTGCAGACAACTCTGGGAGCCGGCGTTTGACCACAGACAGCTTCCGGGTCACGTGGCCAGCATGACTAAGCTGCTTCTGGTGAACCAGAGCAGCACACGGAAACACCGTTTCCCTTCCTGCCGGAGCTGTACCTATTTATCTACTTGCACTTTGATGTGCTTTCGAATTGCTAGGTTGGCAGGACCAGAGACCGAGCAATGGGAACTCACCCCGTCGTGGGGATTCAAACCACCAACCTTCTGATCTGCAAGCCCAAGAGGCTCAGTAGTTTAAACCACAGGGCCACTCATGTCCCCTTTTCCTTATATTACTCTGCCATAATGAAGTCAACATGTGAACATCAAAGCACAGCCGTCCTCTGAAAGGCAGCTCTCCCTCCAAGTAATGTATTTTAAAAATGTACATGAAAAGGTGTAATTTCATGACAATAGCATGAAAATACAGGTTATAACAGGGCAAATTGCATAGCAATTATGGGCATAATGGGGGAAATTCAGCAACACAGTGCATATATCCCCGAATAGATGCACCCTTGTAGGCAGTTTTGTCTGATATATACATTTTTATGCTAATTTTACCACTAAAGAAATGTCTCTAGCAAGAAAAGTGAGCTTCCTTTGCAAGGCCACAGAACAGCAACTGTACTCCTCTCCCTCTTCCACCCCACAATCGGCTGGCAGGTGTCCCTCTGTCTTCTTCCTCTCCATCCCTTACCTGGGAAGCCAGGAGCAGCAAAGAGAGAACTGCCAAGCACAGGTGAAGGATCTTCATGGCTCAGGATGAATTGTGGTGGCAAAGCCAGGCAAAGCCAGCTTTTAAGCCAAATGGAGCCCCAAAGCTTGCCAAGAGAGGGCTGGGAGGGAGAAGCAGATTGCATAAATGTAATTTTTTGGGGACGTTGTGACCTAGGCTGACGTGGACAAGAACGTTGCCAAAATCACGTGCCTCTGCAAAGGCATTCCTGCATTCTGTCAGTCATAGCAGTTTCCACACAACATCACAAACATTCAGGTGTGCTGTATTCATGTTTCAGAGGGAGATAGCTTAAATCAAATGAAACCTTTTTGAGGTGGTTGCAATGCCCCACATAGGCAGTGCTAGGGGGATGTATCCCTCAGGTAAATAACTCACCCCTCACCTGTCCCCACCACATTGCTGGACCCTTGCAATTAGCTGAAGGAAGGGGACTTTTCACATGCTCACCTCCCACAATGATCATTCTTAATCTGGCCAAACTTAGATTCACAAAATGTTTAGGGGTATGCGTTACCCCTGCATCCCCCAAGGAAATAGCACTGGTAGTAGTAATAGCTTCAAACAGTTCTTCCAAAAAGAAAAAGAAAGATTCAAGTCCACCGATTGAAGAGGTTGAGTGGGACATGCAGGGCAAGGAGATTTCAAAGGTGAAATGATGGACTCTTTGCTTACTTGAAGGAAAGGCAATCTTCACATGCTCTCTTGTCCTTTTTCTCATTCTTGCAATCATCATCATCATCATCATCATCATCATCCTTTTTCGCAAACACCTTTTTCTAACTAGACTCAAAGCAACTTACAAAAATATTTTCAAACATGAGGGGCTCTGCTTCTCTGCTTGCTCCACCTGCCATGTCCACTCTGCACCCCATCATAATTGGCCAACCTGTCCTTTTCTTTCTCCTTTCCACCCTTGAAGATGACTAAGCCCCCTTTCCCCCTTCCCAACCCTGTTTCTGAAGCTGCTTCACTCTTCTGTCCTGCGCTCCTTGGAGTCGCTGTTATTTGTGACTAAAGATCAGGGGTGATGGTCTCCAGAACAGAAACATCCAAAGGCTGATGAGTTAACCTTCTCTGCTTTGAGGTTTCATTTGAGCTTTCATGCTCAGGCCTGGTGCTTTCATGTGCAAGGTGCTTGAAACTGAATATGGAACCCTTTGCAAGGAATATATGGAACCTAATCCTCAGCTAACAGACGCGGGTGCGCTGTGGTCTAAACCACTGAGCCTTGGGCTTGCCAATCAAAACGTCGGCAGTTCAAATCCCCGTTACATGGTGAGCTCCCGTTGTTCGGTCCCAGCTCCTGGCAACCTAGCAGTTCGAAAGCACACCAAAAAATGCAAGTAGATAAATAGGTACCGCTCCTGCGGGAAGGTAAAAGGTGTTTCCGTGCACTCTTCTGATTTCGCCAGAAGCGGCTTAGTCATGCTGGCCACATGACCTTGAAAAACTGTCTGCGGACAAATGTAGGCTCCCTCAGCCAGTAAAGCAAGGTGAGCTCAGCAACTCCAGGGTCGTCCGCGACTGGACTTAACTGTCAAGGGTCCTTTACCTTTTAATCCTCAGCTATTCAAACCAGATGGAGGGGAGAAGATCACACTGAGCAAATGTCCAGCAGCTATTGAAGTTTTAGGATGGACAGTTATGGTAATCCCTTTCCACTGAGATAAACAATAGATGAAACTGCATATTAATCTAAACAATCAAATACCATGTGATTGAAGAATTCGACCAAGAAGAATTGGCAAAACCTCACAGAGCAAAGCAACCAAAGACAGGGCTGATCCCAGAGCCGAACAAGCCTTGAGGCAGGTGAGGACGCTGCTCCAGGTGGCAGAAGCCCCCAACCAGGCACAATGCCCATGGGTGCCCCTCCTGCCCTGCTGCTTCTGCCAGTGGAGGAGAAGCACCAGTATCATCAGCACTGATTTTGGAAAAGTTCACAGCCATTTGGGGGAATAAGGGATGTGCCGCCCTAAGCTGATTCTGCCATAGGTGTCTTTTGCAATGGACAAAGTATGGAAACAACTGGCTGCGCAACCAATTAAGCTTGCAATCAAAGGACGATGTATTCAGGGACCACTTAAGTAATTGATGCTTTGTGTAACAAATGGAACAGGTAGCTAGTACTCACTGCTCTATCAAAATGACATTCTGTGTAATAAAAAGGTTGCATTAGAGATACTTTGTACTGCCAGTGGTTGTTTAATTAATGAAAAACCTAATTATGACAACTGCTTTTTTCTGTTTCTGACGGAATAGAATGGCTCTAAGACACAGAATGGAGGAAAGAGGCAGGGAGGTGAGATGAGTTTGTATTGATGCAGTTTTTACATAATGGAGGAAATAATAAAGGTTTAATGGAAAACTCAAATGGATATAGCAGAAAAATGCTATATTAAAGGAGGTTAAACTGGAATCAGATAAATGATCATCAACTTGTAAAGAAACCTATGGTTCATGTTAGCAGGCATCATAAAAGTTTTACGTAATGAAACTATTTTCTCAGTTCACTGGCTCCCTATGCCTAAATCCGAGAAGGGATGTCCATTTAGGGTGGTAGCCTAAAGCTACTCAGATCAGAGGCTCCTGAAAATGATTGATCCAAAAAATGCTACAAGAGGGGCATGGTGCGGGGAGAAGAAATAATACTTTCCTCTGGACACTTGTTTGATTCTCCTTTGCTAAGCTGAAGTTCCCTTCTGCAACAATTATACAGTGGTGGACAGCTCCCAATGTCAGTGAAGACAGCAGGACATCATCAACAGGAGGCAGATATAATCGGTTTGTAACAGGCCAAATCCTGTGTAGAGGAAGAACAAATACCATGGTCCACAAGTAAAAGGAAAGTTCATTCATAAGAGGAAGAAACGGAGGCACAACTTCATAGCCGACCCCCCTAAAATAAATCTTGGCTGCACCCATGCTTCCCATATTTTTAATTTGTTTGGAACATTTTGACTTAGGCTGACATGGAGGAGAATGTTGCCAAAATCACATGCTTGTGGGAAGATATTGCTGAAATCTGGTAGTCATAGCAGTTTCCGCAGAAGTAGGATCCCAACTACAGATCGCAAACATTCAGATCTGCTGCATTCATGTTTCACAAGGAGATAGCTTGGATCAAACAAAAAGTTTATGAGGAGAATAGGCAGTGCCAGGGGGATGTATCCCTCAGGTAAATAACTCACCCCTCACCTGTTCCCATCACATTGCTGGACCCTTGTGGTTACCTGAAGGAAGGGCACCTTTCACAATAACAATTGGCCAACCTGTCCATTCCCTTCTCCTTTACACCATAGAGGATGACTAAGCCATTTACTTACTCACTTACTGTGGCGATCACACAGGGCCCCCGGACGTTTGATGGTCTATTGACCCTGTGCCACCACTGTGATTGCTTTCTTCGCTGCCACCCCCCCGCTTCTCATGGGGACACACGGAGTCCAGACAGTTGTTAACATTAACAAATAATCAAGTTTACTTTTAAATGCAGGAACAAGCGTATGGTTTCAGTTTATTTTTCTCTTGTCAGTTTCTTAATCTTAGTTCCTAACAACTCCAAACTGATTATTCCCAACTATCTATCTGACTCCACCTGACAATTCCTCTCACAATACATCTCTACCAACCCACATACAATCCTCCCTCTTCCTTCTTCAACTCCCAAACCTCAACTCTCAACTCCCAAACCTCAACTGACTTTCAAAGTCTCCCACTCTAACTTTTACTCCCCCCTTGCATTCTCACTGGCCAATCACATCACACTCATTTTAACCCTTTCCTATGACGCATCCTAGGAGGCAAACGCCACATTCCTCCCCCCTTAAGAAGACTGACTCAGGAGGGATAACTCAACCTAGTTATTCTCCTGATCAATCAGCAGTACATCTTTATGGCAAATAAACATTTCCTAACCTGTCATTTCACCCTTCACATCACACCTAACATTTGTACATCAAATACTGTGTTCTGGAAAAATATACATATATACAAAAACCTGTTACATCTTAAGCATTCAGTTAACTTTCAATTGCAGGTCTTCTGGATAAGGCGTCTGCAACGGTGTTCAGGGTCCCTTTCACATTTTTAACCGTAAAATTAAAGTCTTGCAGTGATAGGGCCCACCTCATCAGCTTACTGTTGGTCTTCATGGTTCTCAGCCACAGCAAGGGTGAATGGTCAGTACATAAAGTAAAAGTTCGGCCCCAGATGTACGGCTTCAGTTTCTGTAATGCCCACACGATGGCAAGGCATTCCTTCTCGATGGTCGAATAATGTCTTTCCCTTGGTAGTAGTTTCTTGCTTAGGAAGGTGATGGGATGCAGGTCGTCCTTCTCTCCCTGTTGGCACAGCACAGCCCCGATCCCGGCATTGGAGGCATCGGTGAAGACGGTGAACTCACGATCATAATCAGGAGCAACAAGGACTGGATTTGATGTCAAGGCGCTTTTTAAGGCGTCAAACGCCCGCTGACATGCTGCTGTCCAGTTAACCATGTCTGGCTCCTTCTTCCGCGTTAGGTCAGATAAAGGCACTGCTATCTCGCTAAATTTCGGAATAAATTTGCGATAATAACTGGCTAGTCCTAGGAAAGCTCTGACTTTCTTCTTGGAGGTAGGGGTAGGCCAGTTTGAAATGGCTTCTACCTTTGTCTCTAAAAGTTTCATCACTCTTCCTCCCACCATGTGTCCCAGGTATTGAATAGTCAAGCCCCCTATCTGGCATTTGCTAGCTTTGATGGTTAAGCCCGCCTCTTTAATTCGCTGTAGCACTATCCCTAAGTGCTCTTTGTGTTTCTCCCAAGTTGGACTGTACACAGCAATATCGTCCAAATAAGCAACTGTGAACTCTCTTAATCCGTTCAGGATTTTGTCCACCAATCGCTGAAAAGTTGCTGGCGCATTCTTTAAGCCAAAGGGCATTACTTTAAACTCAAACAGCCCTAAGGGACTTCTGGACGCAGTTTTCTCCTGGTCCCTAGGGTCCATTTCCACTTGATAGTACCCCTTTGTTAAGTCTAGGCAGGTGATGTAATGACACTGGCCTATAGCTTCGATCAGGTCATCTAAACGGGGCATTGGATATGCATCCGCTTTAGTGACATGGTTCAGCTTCCTATAATCCAGGCAAAATCTAATAGATCCATCAGGTTTGTCTAATAACACTATGGGTGCTGCCCAGCGGCTTTCCGAAGGGATTATCATCCCTGCCTTCAGCATCGCCCTTACCTCATTGCTAACTTTCCCCACATACTCTCCAGTTATTCTGTAGGGGTTGACAGCAATAGGCTTAGCATCCCCAGTGTCGATATGATGTATAACTCCTTTAGCTCTACCTGTAGTGTTACTGAAAATGTCTTTATAATCTTGTAGGATCTGCTTAACCTCCACCTGCTGATTCAGGGTTAATGTAGGAGCTATCTTTATTTCTTGTAGATTGCACAATTGCTCCCCTCCCTTCCCAGCATGTTATATCGGTTATTTTGTGGTATTATATCTTAATTTTATTCTGTGAACTGCCCTGAGACCCCCAGTTATAAAGCGGTAGATTAAATAAGTAAGTAAGTAAGTGACGCGGGTGGCGTTGTAAGGGACGCGGGTGGCGCAGTGGGTTAAACCACAGAGCCTAGGACTTGCTGATCAGAAGGTCGGTGGTTCGAATCCCTGCAACGGGATGAACTCCCGTTGCTCGGTCCCTGCTCCTGCCAACCTAGCATTTCTAAAGCACGTCAAAGAGAAGTGGATAAATAGGTACCGCTCTGGCAGAAAGGTAAACGGTGTTTCCGTGCGCTGCTCTGGTTTGCCAGAAGCGGCTTAGTCATGCTGGCCACATGACCCGGAAGGTGTATGCCGCCTCCCTCGGCCAATAAAGCGAGATGAGCGCCACAGCCCCAGAGTCGGCCACAACTGGACGTAATGGTCAGGGGTCCCTTTACCTTGAGTAGGTAAGTAAGTAAGTAAGTAAGTAAGTAAATGGCTTAGTCATCCTCTACGGTGGAAAGGAGAAGGGAAAGGACAGGCTGGCCAATTATTGTTGTGAAAGGTGCTCTTCGTTCAGGTAACCGCAAGGGTCCAGCCAAGATTTATTTTAGGGGGGCCTATGAAGTTGTGCCTCCGTTTCATGCTCTTCTGAATGAACTTTCCTTTCACTTGTGGACCATGGTATTTGTTCTCCCTCTACACAGGATTTGGCCTGTTACAAACCGATTATATCTGCCTCCTGTTGATGATGTCCTGCTGTCTTCACTGACATTGGGAGCTGTCCACCACTGTATAATTGTTGCAGAAGGGAACTTCTGCTTGGCGAATGAGAGTCAAACAAGTGTCCAGAGGAAAGTATCATTTCTCCTCCCCACAACCCATGTAAAACTTTTAGGATGCCTGCTAACATGAACAACAGGTTTCTTTACAAGTTGATGATCATTTATCTGATTCCAGTTTAACCTCCTTTAATATAGCATTTGTCTGCTATATCCATTTGAGTTATCCATTAAAACTTTATTATTTCATCCATTATGTAAAAACTGCATCGCTACAAACTCATCTCTCCTCCCTCCCTCTTCCCATCCATGTCTTAGAGCCATTCTATTCCTTCAGAAACAGAATTAACCAAAACAAAACTCATTATAGTCATTATGTAGGTTGATTATACAGCCTGCAAGATTTACAGTTGTCTTAATTAGGTTTTTCATTAATTAAACAACCACTGGCAGTACAACGTATCTCTAATGCAACCTTTTTATTACACAGAATGTCATTTTCATAGAGCAGTGAGTACCAGCTACCTGTTCCATTAGTTACACAAAGCATCAATTACTTAAGTGGTCCCTGAATACATCGTCCTGTGATTGCAAGCTTAATTGGTTGCACAGCCAGTTGTTTTCATACTTTGTCCATTGCAAAAGACACCTATGGCAGAATCAGCCTAGGGCGGCACTTCCCGTTTTGCCCCAAATGGCAGCCCAAAATCAGTGCTGATGGTACTGGTGCTTCTCCTCCACTGGCAGAAGCAGCAGGGCAGGAGGGGCACCCATGGGCATTGTGCCTGGTTGGGGGCTTCTGCCACCTGGAGCAGCGTCCTCACCTGCCTCAAGGCTTGTTCGGCTCTGGGATCAGCCCTGTCTTTGGTTGCTTTGCTCTGTGAGGTTTTGCCAATTCTTCTTGGTCGAATTCTTCAATCACATGGTATTTGATTGTTTAGATTAATATGCAGTTTCATCTATTGTTTATCTCAGTGGAAAGGGATTACCATAACTGTCCATCCTAAAACTTCAATAGCTGCTGGACATTTGCTCAGTGTGATCTTCTCCCCTCCATCTGGTTTGAATAGCTGAGGATTAAAAGGTAAAGGACCCTTGACAGTTAAGTCCAGTCGCGGACGACCCTGGAGTTGCTGAGCTCACCTTGCTTTACTGGCTGAGGGAGCCTACATTTGTCCGCAGACAGTTTTTCAACGTCATGTGGCCAGAATGACTAAGCCGCTTCTGGCGAAATCAGAACAGTGCATGGAAACACCTTTTACCTTCCCGCAGGAACGGTACCTATTTATCTACTTGCATTTTTTGGTATGCTTTCGAACTGCTAGGTTGCCAGGAGCTGGGACCGAACAACGGGAGCTCACCATGTAACGGGGATTTGAACTGCCGACGTTTTGATTGGCAAGCCCAAGGCTCAGTGGTTTAGAGCACAGCGCACCCGCGTCTGTTAGCTGAGGATTAGGTTCCATATATTCCTTGCAAAGGGTTCCATATTCAGTTTCAAGCACCTTGCACATGAAAGCACCAGGCCTGAGCATGAAAGCTCAAATGAAACCTCAAAGCAGAGAAGGTTAACTCATCAGCCTTTGGATGTTTCTGTTCTGGAGACCATCACCCCTGATCTTTAGTCACAAATAACAGCGACTCCAAGGAGCGCAGGACAGAAGAGTGAAGCAGCTTCAGAAACAGGGTTGGGAAGGGGGAAAGGGGGCTTAGTCATCTTCAAGGGTGGAAAGGAGAAAGGAAAGGACAGGTTGGCCAATTATGATGGGGTGCAGAGTGGACATGGCAGGTGGAGCAAGCAGAGAAGCAGAGCCCCTCATGTTTGAAAATATTTTTGTAAGTTGCTTTGAGTCTAGTTAGAAAAAGGTGTTTGCGAAAAAGGATGATGATGATGATGATGATGATGATGATGATTGCAAGAATGAGAAAAAGGACAAGAGAGCATGTGAAGATTGCCTTTCCTTCAAGTAAGCAAAGAGTCCATCATTTCACCTTTGAAATCTCCTTGCCCTGCATGTCCCACTCAACCTCTTCAATCGGTGGACTTGAATCTTTCTTTTTCTTTTTGGAAGAACTGTTTGAAGCTATTACTACTACCAGTGCTATTTCCTTAGGGATGCAGGGGTAACGCATACCCCTAAACATTTTGTGAATCTAAGTTTGGCCAGATTAAGAATGATCATTGTGGGAGGTGAGCATGTGAAAAGTCCCCTTCCTTCAGCTAATTGCAAGGGTCCAGCAATGTGGTGGGGACAGGTGAGGGGTGAGTTATTTACCTGAGGGATACATCCCCCTAGCACTGCCTATGTGGGGCATTGCAACCACCTCAAAAAGGTTTCATTTGATTTAAGCTATCTCCCTCTGAAACATGAATACAGCACACCTGAATGTTTGTGATCTTGTGTGGAAACTGCTATGACTGACAGAATGCAGGAATGCCTTTGCAGAGGCACGTGATTTTGGCAACATTCTTGTCCACGTCAGCCTAAGTCACAACGTCCCCAAAAAATTACATTTATGCAATCTGCTTCTCCCTCCCAGCCCTCTCTTGGCAAGCTTTGGGGCTCCATTTGGCTTAAAAGCTGGCTTTGCCTGGCTTTGCCACCACAATTCATCCTGAGCCATGAAGATCCTTCACCTGTGCTTGGCAGTTCTCTCTTTGCTGCTCCTGGCTTCCCCAGGTAAGGGATGGAGAGGAAGAAAACAGAGGGACACCTGCCAGCCGATTGTGGGGTGGAAGAGGGAGAGGAGTACAGTTGCTGTTCTGTGGCCTTGCAAAGGAAGCTCACTTTTCTTGCTAGAGACATTTCTTTAGTGGTAAAATTAGCATAAAAATGTATATATCAGACAAAACGGCCTACAAGGGTGCATCTATTAGGGGATATATGCACTGTGTTGCTGAATTTCCCCCATTATGCCCATAATTGCTATGCAATTTGCCCTGTTATAACCTATATTTTCATGCTATTGTCATGAAATTACACCTTTTCATGTACATTTTTAAAATACATTACTTGGAGGGAGAGCTGCCTTTCAGAGGACGGCTGTGCTTTGATGTTCACATGTTGACTTCATTATGGCAGAGTAATATAAGGAAAAAGGGACGTGGGTGGCCCTGTGGTTTAAACCACTGAGCCTCTTGGGCTTGCAGATCAGAAGGTTGGTGGTTTGAATCCCCATGACGGGGTGAGTTCCCATTGCTCGGTCCCTGGTCCTGCCAACCTAGCAATTCGAAAGCACATCAAAGTGCAAGTAGATAAATAGGTACAGCTCCGGCAGGAAGGGAAACGGCGTTTCCGGGTGCTGCTCTGGTTCACCAGAAGCAGCTTAGTCATGCTGGCCACGTGACCCGGAAGCTGTCTGTGGTCAAACGCCGGCTCCCAGAGTTGTCTGCAACTGGAATTAACTGTCAAAACAGTCCTTTACCTTTTTATTAATATATGGAAAATGGCATCGCATGTAAAACTGGTAAGGAAAAAGAAAAGCAGCCTCTTCTTTTCTCAGTTTGGTTAGATTTTATGCAATTCTATGCAAATTTATGGAATACGTTTTAGAAAATAAAATTTTGATTTGTCTCTTCCACAGGTCTGCCAATAAATTTGGGGTATAAAGTTTCTAATTAGTGGGAAATGTTTCTTGATGTAGTATACAGCCTTTTATTCTGGGTAGTCCTTGGGGCTCTGATGGCTTCAGTTCCAGGCTTTAGATTCTCTATAACGTATAAGCCATGTGTGCCTCACTTCTTGCTGTCGTGTTTCGTAGACTGACACCCTCCACTCAGGAGCAAATATCTGGATAAGCAGATTGACCATTTCTTCTTGTGAATGTAGCAAGCGTGGTAAACACCAGTGGCCAGTGGCAAGGGGTGGGGTGGGGGTAGGAGTTGGGATGCCACAGCACCCAGAGCGTCACAGAGCCACTCCTGTTCAAAGGGCTGTGGAGTTGTTCCTCTCTTTCATTCTATTGTGAATTAACTTCCTTCTCCCCACTTATGTTTGTTTCTCTCTTTGCACAGGATCTGCACAAGACGATGAACCTCAGAATAGAAGGCAATGCTTTAAAACCAATGGTATTTGCTTCCCAATGGTATTGGGTTGTCCCAATAATACTAAGAAGATTGGAAGGTGTAGTGATTATTATTCCTGTTGCCAAAGGTAATTTCAGCTTACCAAAAGAGTATTACACCTCCTGCACTTCTCCCATTAGCCTCTGGATTGATCATTTTAGGTACCCAATGCAGAGTGCCCTAAACTGATCATCCTTTGCCTGCAAGCTCAATTGCTCCATTGCAAAAATAAAAATAAAAATACCTATGCCAGAATGAGCCAAGGGTGGCACATCCCATTTTGCTGCTTGATGCAAAATGGTAATGGCTGCTTTGCCATTCTGCCAGGACGGCTCCTAAGCCCATCTACCTGCTCCTCCTGCCATGGCCTGATCTGCCACTGACACACACCATACCCTGTTGGTTGCAGGCACAGAAGCTGCACTACCATTGTTGCCCATTTTAAGCCAGATTGTGCTGAGTTCTCTCACCATAAGCAGAACCAGCAGGGCAGGAGGGGCACCAATGGGTTTATTGTCTGAGGGGCTTCTGCCACCAGAAGCAGGGTCCTCACCTGCATCATGGCTGGTCCAGCTGTCTTTGGCCCCTTTGCCCTCTGAGCTTATGCCAGATCTCCTTTGCCAAATCCCTAAACCACACCAGATGGGCACATTTAATTTGTTGTGCAGCTTCATCCATTGTTTATCTCAGTGCCTAAGGGATGTCCATTCTGCAGCTTTAACAGATGCTGGGCTCTTACTCTGTGTGGTGTCCTGCCCTCCACCGTTTAAGATTACCTCAGTATCACATCCCATACATTCCATGCAAATCTCCCACTTTCAATTCCAAGCAGATTCATTATTATTTTATCTTTTAATGAAAGAAGCTGAGGCAGTAGACTTTTGTCTTGGGTGCATACAGAGAAATTAGCAACTGGACTGAATGAACCCAAGGGTGCCAGTTCTCCCGTGTTTCTCAAAACACTCTCACAAAATGGGGTGCAAGCTTCCTGTTAACCCTGAACTCTTCTTCAGGGCCACAAAGACAACAAATCCCTGCCGTGCATAACATCCAGTCTGCAGGAGAATATTGGAATCCTTGCAAGCTCATTCACTATTCCGTGACATATTTAATTGTACCTAGAAAAGAAAGTCCCCCAGGGCTAGGGGTGTCTCAGAGACTGCATTCAATTCTCATCGAAAGGGGAATCTATGTAATTCATAGTTTCTGGAAATGAAAAACTGAAACAGACCTATCCCTACCCAATGGTTTATTATCATGAAAACTTTCTTGTGGTCCAACATGCCTTGCTTTGTCTTTTTGTGTCTCAAACATGGTCACTTTGCTATGAAACCAAGTTAACTGTTGTCTTTTTGTTGCTGGTTTCTATGTTTTAGACAGAAGGAGTGATAGATGCCTTTGAAAAGTGGAAGATGCTCCCTCTCTTTGAGAGCTGCTGGATCCCGCTTCATCCCCAGTTAGGGACTTCTTCTCCAAAGCATCCAGATTGAAAAAGCAACATTTTCAAGGCTTACCTGAGCTTGTGCCTTGCAATAAAAGCAGATCCAAAAGCCTTTTCCCTCTGTTTTTCATTTCTAAGCATGAGTGTTCTTGCTAGTGAAGCCAAAATGGCACCTTACGTCCATGAGAAGGAGGTGTCAGCAAGCATGGTTTGTGGAGAGGCCCAAAACGTCATAAGAAAGGAAGACTAAAAGGGGATGAGGATCTCTCTATACAGTCTAGCGAGTAGGACTGGGCCACAATGTGGAAAATGAAGAGTGGTAAAATATGGAGGGTGGAATGGGAGGGAGAAGAAGATGTTTCCTTTTAAATAGGAACCAATCTGAGTTGTAGTCTTTGAAAAAGTATGCCAGTTGAAATTTAGTCATCCTTCCAAATTCACAGGTCTCTGAATTTTGGGGTTATTGAACTGACCAGACCAGATCTGGAAGTTTCCTCTTATAGATTCTAGGCCCCTCCAGCTAAAGGATTACAGGATGGGAAGTAGCCCTGGCTTTTACAGAAACTAGCCCCACAAAGCCCACTCATTACAGTATGTTGGGCATAATTGCATGCACATGTGCCTACCTGGAAGAATTCTTCATCCTAGGATCCCATGGCTTCCAGTTGGGTGAGATAAGAGAATGCACATCCATTCCTCTCTATGGCAACAGAGCTCACTCTTTTAAGATGTGAATGGTGGGTACTTAGCTGAATGGCTATATACCTCCAGACATAATTTTATTGGAGTGGTGCCTTTCCATAGTTCATACCATGCTTGAGGTGGCTTGCAAGATGGAAAATAATAATAATTACAACATAAAAATTTAGTCTTAAATCATTCAAAAACACACAAACTGAACAAATTAGACATAATTTATAGGATCCGAAATAAAGATACTAAAAGGTTTGCTTCTGGAGATCTGCAGACATCCTGACTACACTTAAGATGGGTGGGGTATAAATACAGTGGTGTAGCCTTATCAGACTTTACCGATTGGTGGGCTCTGCGTTGCTCCCGGACAGGAGGAAGGAAGTCAAATGACACCGAGGGTTGGTTCAGAGAAAGAGTTCTTTATTTCTGCTCTCCGGAAAAGCAGAAAGGCACTTGCGTGGTCAGTCCACAGCAAGTCCAAAGAAATGAGAAATTTCATGCAGTATATATATATCCTCCAGGCACCCTCTCCCTCCTTCCCCAGGAATCCAACCACGTCAGCCTATACACGCAGGTTGACATCACATATGTTCCTGCTCCGGTATTTTTAACCATAAAAGGGTATTCCTTCCTGTACTTCTGACCATAAAAGGGTATTTCTGTTCTTATACTCTTAACTTGGAGCAAGAGGTCACCAACTCCAAGAACACACTCTGGCGCTGTTCCCGGACTAGGTCTGTGCATCTTTGTGGTCTTTGTGGTCAGGATGTAAGATAAGGCCCAGAGTGTCATCCCTGTTCCACTCTGGAATGGACAAAGCCATCCGTCATTACCAGCCTTCATAGACTGATAAGGGAGAGAACTTTGAGCACTTGTTTATACAGCTGGGTTTTGCCTCAAGAGCTGAAGTTAAAGCATTTTAGCTAAGGAAAAATAGGGATTTTGGTGCAGTTTCAAACTGCCTGCACAGTCAGTTTTGGGTTTGGGAAACCCATTCCTTCAGTGGTACCTCTAGTCACAAACTTAATTCGTTCTGGCGATCCATTCTTAACCTGAAACTGTTCTTAACTAGAGGTGTGCTTTCGCTAATGGGGCCTCTTGCTGCCGCTGCGCTGCCGGCACACGGTTTCCGTTCTCATCCCATGGCAAAGTTCTCAACTCGTGGTAACTCTTCCAGGTTAGCGAAGTTTGTAACCAGAAATGTTTCTAACCTGAGGCGTTTGTAACTGGAGGTACCACTGTAGTAAAATTATTATTCATAATAAAACAGGATGTCCCTATTTTCATGGAAGGAATTTGGGAGGATTTCTTGAGAACAGCAAGGGACCCTATATGGAGAAAGCAATGGGGAGACTCCATCTGTTTCTCTTCTTCCAAGAATCACAACTATAATTCAGTGTCCCCAACTCTCCCCCTTGTGTCCTGCCCTGAAGGCCACAGCCTGCTGGCCTCTCTTGCCCATCTGTGCTGTGGCTGGCCTGTTTCTCCTTTGATCTCCTAGCGTAGAGTTTGGAGGTGACTTCTAATCCTAAAGTCCAAGAGAGAGAAGTGTGAGGAGGAGCAGGAAGATGTAAAACAGGGTGAAAGCTAAGGTGTATCAGCCTAAACAACAACGAGATTCAGAGGTACGCTGAGAGTGGAGGAACTACACCACTCTAAGGGTGAATCTACACACAGGGGGAGAAATGTCGGGAAATCTACTGTTGAGAAGTGGAACTGTTATTTTTTCAACTCTGAAGCACATTTTTTCAACCTCTGAAGCACATCTTTCATATGATGTATATGCTGTTCTTGATTCTCTGAATAAATCAAAATGTTATCAAAACAGTCCACCAGGACTCTGAGTATGTAGCTGATGAAATCTTAGAACGTTGCTGCTCCTGACTGAAATGTTATCTCCCTCTCTCTCCCTGCCTTCTCTTGGCAACCTTTGGGGCTCCATTTGGCTTAAATGCTGGCATTCAGCTTTGCCACGTCAACTCATCCTGTACCATGAAGACCCTTCACCTATGCTTGGCAGTTCTCTCTTTGCTGCTCCTGGCTTCCCCAGGATTTTTAGGAAGTCGTTAGTCTGCACCAGGCGTCCTATTGTGAAGACCCAGTTTTCTGAGTTCATGTTCTGGGAGTTGTGCAATAGGGGCAGTACAGGATTCCTTTTGGTGTACTGACCTCCCCGCTGCACCAAGGATTCCCTGCCTGAGCTGCTTCCTGGAGACACCTAGTTTGGTTGTCCTAGGGGATTTTAACATCCAGATCTGCCGCAGTCATGTTTCAGAATGAAATAGCTTGGATCAAATGAAAATTTTATGAGGAGGATACAATGCCCAGGGGATTTATCCCTCAGGTAAATAACTCACGCTTCACCTGTCCCCACCAGATTGCTGGATCTTTGCAGTTACCTGAAGGAAGAGCATTTTCACAGGCTCATATCCCAAAATTATTATTAGTTGTAGTCATAATAGCATCAAACAGTTCTTAAAAAAAATAATCCAAGTCGACCAATTGAAGAGGTTGAGTGGGCACATGCAGGGCAAGGAGATTTCAAAGGTGAATTGATGGACTCTTCAGCTTACTTGAAGGAAGGGAAATTTTCACATGTCTCCTCCTCCTCCTCCTCCTCCTCCTCTTCCTAACTCACCACCACCATATCTCTCAGACACCTTTTTCAAACAAAACTCAAGACAACTTAAAAAATAATTCAAAACTGGAGGGGCTCTTCTTCTCTGCTTCCTCCACCTGCCATTTCCCACTCTGCACCCCATAATAATTGGCCAGCCTGTCTTTTCGTTTCTCCCTTCCACTCTAAAAGATGACAAATCCCCCTTTCTCCTTCCCAACCCTGTTTCTGAAGCCGCTTGACTCTTCTGTTTAAAACCCCCTGGAGTCGCTGTCAGTATGGCTGTAGATTGGGGGTGATGGCATCTCCAGATCAGAAACATCCAAAGGGCAACAGGTTCAGGTCCAGTCCTGGTACTTTCATGCCCAAGGTGCTTGGAACTGGAAGTGGGACACTTTGCATGGAATATATGGGAGCTATCTTAGATCCTGAGCTATCTAAACAAGGTGGAGGGGGGACATTTTATGCCTCTGCACAACCATGCCTGCTGACACCTCCTTCTCATACAAGAAGTGAGGCATGCATGGCTTATGAGTTATAGAGGACTTATAATGATGTTAATGGACTAATCTTGCTTCTTTTCTGCTCCTGTGTGGGAGTCATAAAGCCACGGCAAAGGCTTGTAATATTGCAGGGTGCCCCCTGACCTCGGCTGACCAGCACTCTGAGCTTTACAATGTATTGGAATGTATTGACCTTAAATGGAGTTGTGTTTCCTCTGGGCAGTGATGACCCTATATGGTGATGGGTGTAATAAAAGCCTTGACCGGATGAGGTAACGTGAGACATTGGCAAACGGCCATGCGGCTGGAGAGAGACAAAGGATAATAAAAAAGCTACGGGAGGAGAGAGAAGTTCGAAAGGAGCTGCTCATACCATCCTGAAAATATTGCTGGCTCTCTGTGTCTTTATTTTATGCTAAACTGCGCCACTTGTTACGGCTGGCTCCGACACTCCTGTATACCCTGCTTAAATGCAATGCTTGCAAAATATGATGCGTAAAATGATGTCACAAATGATTCGGCCCCAGATTATAACACTGACATGAGAATACCAGCCAGTGCCTTGGGATGAGCCGTAAGGCTGTCCAAAAGAAGAGGAGGGAATGAAGGAATGGGTTTCTGTGTAGTAAGTTTAAAACTGACTCAAACCCGCCCCCCCTTTTTGTTCTTTCAAAAGAGAGCACTTTTAAGTGCGTAAAACTTGAGCTGTTGAGCAAAAACATAAACAAGCTCTCTCCTTTATCAGTCACGGCAAGGGATGGCCTTGGCTCTCTAAGGGAACAAAGAAAACACGTCAGAACTTTATCTTATGTGCTGACCACAAAATACGCGCAAGACCAACGTCCGGGAAAAACACCAAAAGCGTGTTCCCGGAGATTATGACATCTTCCCAGACAAGAGTAGGAAGAGGAAGATCCTTTTATGGTTGAGAGTACCAGAGCAGGAACATATGTGATGTCTACTTGCGTATACAAGTTGACGTGGCTGGGGAAGGGGGAGAGGATGCCTGGAGGATATATATACACTGCATGAAACTTGTCATTTCTTTGGACTTGCTGTGGACTTGATCAAGCAAGTGCCTTCTGCTATCCAGAGAGCTGAATAAACTCTTTCTTTGAACCAACTCGGTGTCATTTGACTTCCTTCCTCCTGTCCCGGAGCAACGCAGACCCAGTCGGTGAACTCCAATAAGGCTACACTGGCTGTATGCCAAGTTGGAAAAATGACAGTTCCACGTCTCAACAGTAGATTTCCCGACATTTCTCCCCCTGTTTGTTGATTCACCCTTAGAGTGGTGTGGTTCCTCCCCTCTCAGAGGACCTCTGAATCTCTTTGTTGTTTAGGCTGATACACCTTAGCTTTCATCCTGTTTTACATCTTCCTCCTCCTCACACTTCTCTCTCTTGGAGTTTTGCTCCATTTTGAGTGTTACGCTTGCATTACGAGTGTTATGCTGAGGACTGTCTTTTTTCCTATTTATTTTGCCTTTTTGTTTTTGAGGCACTTTTTGGAATTGTTTTTCTGAATGTTTGGAACACAGTTCAGCTACTGATTGATTGATTGTGGGTTAGCAGTACATTGTTGATTGTTTTCACTTTATGAAACAATGCTCTCATTAGATAGTAAAATTCATGTTAAATTGATGTTTTAGGGGTTGTTTTTAAAAGTCTGGAATGGATTGATCCATTTTGCATTCATTTCTATGGGAAAGCGCACCTTAGTTTTGGAACGTTTTGGTTTTGGAACGCACTTCCGGAACAGATTAAGTTATATGTATAGCCATTCAGCTAAGTACCCACCATTTACATCTTAAAAGAGTGAGCTCTGTTGCCATAGAGAGGAATGGATGTGCATTCTCTTATCTCACCCGACTGGGAGCCATGGGATCCTAGGATGAAGAATTCTTCCTGGTAGGCACATGTGCACGCAATTATGCCTAATATACTGTAATGAGTGGGCTTTGTGGAGCTAGTTTCTGTAAAAGCCTGGGCTACTTCCCATCCTGTAATTCTGTGGCTGGAGGGGCCTAGAATCTATAAGAGGAAACTTCCAGATCTGGTCTGGTCAGTTTAATAACCCCGAAATTCAAAGACCTGTGAATTTGGAAGGATGACTATATTTCAACTGGCATACTTTTTCAAAGAGTGCAACTCAGTTTGGTTACCATTTAAAGGGAAAGTGAACAGAATTTCTTCTCCCTCTCATTCCACCCTCCATATTTTGTCACTCTTCATTTTCCACATTGTGGTCCAGTCCTACTCGCTAGACTGTTTTGAGAGATCCTCACCCCCTTTTAGTTTTCCTTTGTAATGACGTCTTAGGCCTCTGCACAACCATGCCTGCTGAAACCTCCGCCTCATGGATGTAAGGTGCCATTTTGGCTTCACTAGCAATACACTCATGCTTAGAAATGAAAAACAGAGGGAAAAGGCTTTTGGATCTGCTTTTATTGCAAGGCACAAGCTCATGTAAGCCTTGAAAATGTTGCTTTTTCAATCTGGATGCTTTGGAGAAGAAGTCCCTAGCTGGGGATCAAGCGGGATCCAGCGGCTCTCAAAGAGAGGGAGCATCTTCCACTTTTCAAAGGCATCTATCACTCCTCCCGTCTAAAACATAGAAACCAGCAACAAAAAGACAACAGTTAACTCAGTTTCATAGCAAAGTGACCATGTTTGAGACACGAAAACACAAAGCAAGGCATGTTGGACCACAAGAAAGATTTCATGATAATAAGCCATTGGGTAGGGATAGGTCTGTTTCAGTTTTTCATTTCCAGTAACTATGAATTACATAGATTCACCTTTCAATGAGAATTGAATCCAATCTCTTGCCCATCCTTACCCTTGGGGGACTTTCTTTTTTAGGTACAATTAAATATGTCACAGAATAGTGAGGGAGCTTTCAAGGTCTCCAATATTCTCCTGCAGACTGGATGTTATTCACGGCAGGGATTTGTTGTCTTTGTGGCCCTGAAGAAGAGTTCAGGGTTAACAGGAAGCTTGCTCACAATTTTGTGACAATGTTTTGAGAAACACGAGAGATACTGGCACCCTGGGATTCCTTCAGTCCAGTTGCTAATTTCTCTGTATGCACCCAAGACAAAAGTCTACTGCCTCAGGTTCTTTCTTTAAAAGATAAAATAAGAATGAAGCTGCTTGGAGTTGAAAGTGGGAGATTTGCATGGAATGTATGGGATGTGAAACTGAGGTAATCTTAAATGGTGGAGGGCAGGACACCACACAGAGTAAGTGCCCAGCATCTGTTAAAGCTGCAGAATAGACATCCCTTAGGCACTGAGATAAACAATGGATGAAGCTGCACAACAAATTAAATGTGCCCATCTGGTGTGGTTTAGGGATTTGGCAAAGGAGATCTGGCATAAGCTCAGAGGGCAAAGGGGCCAAAGACAGCTGGACCAGCCATGAGGCAGGTGAGGACCCTGCTTCTGGTGGCAGAAGCCCCTCAGACAACAAACCCATTGGTGCCCCTCCTGCCCCGCTGGTTCTGCCTGTGGTGAAAGAACTCGGCACATCTTGCTTAAAATGGGCAACAATGGTAGTGCCACTTCTGTGCCTGCAACCAACAGGGTATGGTGTGTGTCAGTGGCAGATCAGGCCATGGCAGGAGGAGCAGGTAGATGGGCTTAGGAGCCGTCCTGGCAGAATGGCAAAGCAGCAATTACCATTTTGCATCAAGCGGCAAAATGGGATGTGCCACCCTTGGCTCATTCTGGCATAGGTATTTTTATTTTTATTTTTGCAATGGAGCAATTGAGCTTGCAGGCAAAGGATGATCAGTTTAGGGGACTCTGCATTGGGTACTTAAAATGATCAATCCAGAGGCTAATGGGAGAAGTGCAGGAGGTGTAATACTCTTTTGGTAAGCTGAAATTACCTTTGGCAACAGGAATAATTATGAATACACCTTCCAATCTTTTTAGAATTATTGGGACAACCTAGAGGGAAGCAAATACCATTGGTTTTAAAGCATTGCCTAGGATTCTGAGGTTCATCGTCTTGTGCAGATCCTGTGCAAAGAGAGAAACAAACATAAGTGGGGAGAAGGAAGTTAATTCACAATAGGATGAAAGAGAGGAACAACTCCACAGCCCTTTGAGCAGGAGTGTCTCTGTGACGCTCTGGGTGCTGTGGCATCCCAACTCCTACCCCCCACCCCACCCCTTGCCACTGGGCACTGGTGTTTACCACCCTTTCTACATTCACAAGAAGAAATGGTAGATGTGCTTCTCCAGATATTTGCTCATGAGTGGAGGGTGTAATACTCTTTTGGTAAGCTGAAATTACCTTTGGCAACAGAAATAATTATAAATACACTTTCCAATCCTTTTATAATTATTGGGACAACGTATAGGGTAGCAAGTACCCTTGGCACTATGGCATTGCATAGCATTCTTAGGTTCCTGGTACTCTGCAGATCCTGTGCAAAGAGAGAAACAAACATAAGTGGGGAGAAGGAAGTTGATTCACAATAGAATGAAAGAGAGGAACAACTCCACAGCCCTTTGAACAGGAGTGGCTCTGTGACGCTCTGGGTGCTGTGGCATCCCAACTCCTACTCCCCACCCCACCCCTTGTCACTGGCCACTGGTGTTTACCACCCTTGCTACATTCACAAGAAGAAATGGTCAATCTGCTTATCCAGATATTTGCTCATGAGTGGAGGGTGTCAGTCCACAAAACACAACAGCAGGAAGTGAGGCACACATGGCTTATTAGTTATAGAGAAACTAAAGCCTGGAACTGAAGCCATCAGAGCCCCTAGGACTACCCAGAATAAAAGGCTCTATATTACATCAAGAATATTTTCCCCACTAATTAGAAACTATATACCCCAAATTTATTGGCAGACCTGTGGAAGAGACAAATCAAAATTTTATTTTGTAAAACATATGCCATAAATTTGCATAGAATTCCATAAAATCTACCCAAACTGAGCAAAGAAGAGGCTACAAAAATATTTTCAAACATGAGGGGCTCTGCTTCTCTGCTTGCTCCACCTGCCATGTCCACTCTGCACCCCATAATAATTGGCCAACCTGTCCTTTCCTTTCTCCTTTCCACCCTAGGAGATGACTAAGCCCCCTTTCCCCCTTCCCAACCCTGTTTCTGAAGCTGCTTCACTCTTCTGTCCTGAGCTCCATGGAGTCGCTGTTATTTTTGGCTAAAGATCATGGGTGATGGGATCTCCAGATCAGAAACATCCAAAGGCTGATGAGTTAACCTTCTCTGCTTTGAGGTTTCATTTCATTTCATGCTCAGGCCTGGTGCTTTCATGCGCAAGGTGCTTGGAACTGAATGTGGGACATTTTGCATGGAATACATGGAACCTAATCCTCAGCTAACGGACGCAGGTGGCGCTGTGGTCTAAACCACTGAGCCTTGGACTTGCCAATCAAAATGTTGGGAATTCTAATCCCCGTTACAGTGTGAGCTCCCGTTGCTCGGTCCCTGCGGCTGCCAACCTAGCAATTCGAAAGCACGTCAAAGTGCAAGTAGATAAATAGGTACCACTCCGGCGGGAAGGTAAACGGTGTTTCCGTGCACTGCTCTGATTTCACCAGAAGCGGGTTGGTCATGCTGGCCACATGACGCAAAAAAACTGTCTGCGGACAAACGTATAGGCTCCATCAACCAGTAAAGCAAGATGAACGCCGCAACTCCAGAGTCGTCTGCGACTGGACTTAACTGTCAAGGGTCCTGTACCTTTTAATCCTCAGCTATTCAAACAAGATGGAGGGGAGAAGATCACACTGAGCAAATGTCCAGCAGATATTGAAGTTTTAGGATGGACAGTTATGGTATCCCTTTCCACTGAGATAAACAATAGATGAAACTGCATATTAATCTGAACAATCAAATACCATGTGATTGAAGAATTCGACCAAGAAGAATTGGCAAAACCTCACAGAGCAAAGCAACCAAAGACAGGGCTGATCCCAGAGCCGAACAAGCCTTGAGGCAGTTGAGGACACTGCTCCAGGTGGCAGAAGCCCCCAACCAGGCAGAATGCCCATGGGTGCCCCTCCTGCCCTGCTGCTTCTGCCAGTGGAGGAGAAGCACCAGTACCATCAGCACTGATTTTGGGCTGCCATTTGGGGCAAAACGGGAAGTGCCGCCCTAGGCTGATTCTGCCATAGGTGTCTTTTGCAATGGACAAAATATGAAAACAACTGGCTGCGCAACCAATTAAGCTTGCAATCACAGGACGATGTATTCAGGGACCACTTAAGTAATTGATGCTTTGTGTAACGAATGGAACAGGTAGCTAGTACTCACTGCTCTATGAAAATGACATTCTGTGTAATAAAAAGGTTGCATTAGAGATACTTTGTACTGCCAGTGGTTGTTTAATTAATGAAAAACCAAATTAAGACAACTGTAAATCTTGCAGGCTGTATAGTCAACCTACATAATGACTATAATGAATTTTGTTTTGGTTAATTCTGTTTCTGAAGGAATAGAATGGCTCTAAGACATGGATGGGAAGAGGGAGGGAGGAGAGATGAGTTTGTATCGATGCAGTTTTTACATAATGGATGAAATAATAAAGTTTTAATGGAAAACTCAAATGGATATAGCAGACAAATGCTATATTAAAGGAGGTTAAACTGGAATCAGATAAATGATCCTCAACTTGTAAAGAAACCTGTTGTTCATGTTAGCAGGCATCATAAAAGTTTTCCAAGTTATACATAATGAAACTATTTTCTCAGTTCACTGGCTCCCTTTGCCGAAATCCGAGAAGGGATGTTCATTTAGGGTGGTAGCCTAAAGCTACTCAGATCAGAGGCTCCTGAAAATGATTGATCAAAAAAATGCTACAAGAGGGGCAGGGCGTGGGGAGGAGAAATGATACTTTCCTCTGGACACTTGTTTGATTCTCATTCGCCAAGCAGAAGTTCCCTTCTGCAACAATTATACAGTGGTGGCCAGCTCCCAATGTCAGTGAAGACAGCAGGACATCATCAACAGGAGGCAGATATAATCGGTTTGTAACAGGCCAAATCCTGTATAGAGGGAGAACAGATACCATGGTCCACAAGTGAAAGGAAAGTTCATTCAGAAGAGCATGAAACGGAGGCACAACTTCATAGGCCCCCCTAAAATAAATCTTGGCTGGACCCTTGCGGTTACCTGAACGAAGAGCACCTTTCACAACAATAATTGGCCAGCCTGTCCTTTCCCTTCTCCTTTCCACCGTAGAGGATGACTAAGCCATTTACTTACTTACTTACTTACTTACTTACTTACTCAAGGTAAAGGGACCCCTGACCATTACGTCCAGTTGTGGCCGACTCTGGGGCTCTGGCGCTCATCTCGCTTTATTGGCCGAGGGAGGCGGCATACACCTTCCGGGTCATGTGGCCAGCATGACTAAGCCGCTTCTGGCAAACCAGAGCAGCGCACGGAAACACCGTTTACCTTTCCGCCAGAGCGATACCTATTTATCTACTTCTCTTTGACGTGCTTTAGAAATGCTAGGTTGGCAGGAGCAGGGACCGAGCAACGGGAGTTCATCCCGTTGCAGGGATTCGAAGCACCGACCTTCTGATCAGCAAGTCCTAGGCTCTGTGGTTTAACCCATTGCGCCACCCGCGTCCCTTACAGCGCCACCCGCTTACTTACTTACTTATTTAATATACCGCTTTATAACTGGGGGTCTCAGGGCAGTTCGCAGAATAAAATTAAGATATAATACCACAAAATACCTAATAAAAGTAAAAAGGAACTCAATACCCCCCCAAAAAAACCCACACATAGTCAAATACAAAATGCAAATAATTAACAGGAGAATACTGTTGAGTTGTGGGCAAACATATCAAGACGACACAGCGAATCTTCAAACAGCTCTTGATTATTCAGAGGCCAGAACAGAACTGAGCTGAAGTGCTCAGTCAGCCTGCTTATATAGAGCTCCAGAACAACGGAACGGTAGCACCTTTTAAAACTATCCAGTCACTGAACGTCACCTTCGATCCTTCATTTGCATACAAACTATCCAATCACTGAATGTCACTTTCGATCCTTCATTTGCATAACTATCTAGAGTATCCCCCTGCTGGCCCAGGGTGAGAACTTCAGTACATAACAAATACAATATTATTTCAAGCTGGCTGACACGTTGTCATTAGAAAACAGCCCAGACCCTCCATCTCCCAGAACCCGGCAGGACTTAAAAGTAGGAGAGCAAAGACTTTGAAGACAGAGGACACTTAGCGGCACCCGTAGAGGAGATGATGTTGATGATGACAAACGAGGAAGTGGGAGAGACAAGAGGTAGAGATTCACTGGGGACAACATCATTATCCAAGAGGCTGGGTCCTATACCCTCTCTCTGTAAAGTCTGAAATAAAAAAGGATTCCTTGTTTCTATGGATTCCTGGGGAAACAGCAAGGAGCTGCTGACAGCGTCCTGACAGATTGTCCCAAGTCAACATTAGTTGCCGGTTAAGTTATAACTCATGACAGACTGCGCAGGACCTGCCAGGGGCAGCCTCCCAACACCGATAACTGGGAAGAACAATTATCAAAATGCCGAAATCTCAAGGGCGGAGACAGAAACACAGAAATGGTCAGGAAACACCCCCCTATTCCCCCATCAAAATTCAATGGAGAGTCTCCCATGCATGAATGCTTAAAGGCCCCGTTCCTGCCACTCACCACCTGGCCCAGGGCGGGGCCTGACAGGCCTCATGAGGACGGCTACTGCTGCTGCTGTTCCTGACTAGGAGGACTCAGAACAGCGCAGAGTTCTTAATAAATAAATAAATAAATAAATAAAAATTCCCTTTTATTTTATTTGGGGTTGTGGTGGATGTTTAGTCAGGTTCGGGAATTTGTTTAATTTTGGTATGTTTGAAATTTTTACTGTCTTTGGTTTGTATTGCTTTATTGTTTTAGTGTGTGTGTGTGTGTGTCTGTTTTAAGGGTTTTATTTTGTTCTTAAGGGAAGGGGTCAGGGCTGCCTGGGAGTGCCTGGGCTGCCTGGGAGTTTCTAATGACAACGTGTCAGCCAGCTTGAAATAATATTGTATTCTCCTGTTAATTATTTGCATTTTATATTTGACTATGTGGGTTTTTTGGGGGGGGTATTGAGCTGCTTCTTATTTTTGTTAGGTATTTTGTGGTATTATTTCTTAATTTTATTCTGTGAACTTCCCTGAGACCCCCAGTTATAAAGCGGTATATTAAGTAAGTAAGTAAGTAAGTAAGTAAGTAAGTAAGTGTGGCGTTTGCCTCCTAGGATGGGTCATAGGAAAGGGATAAAATGGGTGTGATGTGATTGGCCAGTAAGAATGCAAGGGGGGAGTAAAACTTAGAGTGGGAGGCTTTGAAAGTCAGTTGAGGTTTGGGAGTTGAGAGTTGAGGTTTGGGAGTTGAAGAAGGAAGAGGGAGGATTAGGTGTGGGTTGGTAGAGTTGTATTGTGAGAGAGTGAGAGGAATTGTCAGATGGAATCAGATAGATAGTTGGGAATAATCAGTTTGGAGTTGTTAGGAACTAAGATTAAGAAACTGACAAGAGAAAAATAAACTGAAACCATACGCTTGTTCCTGCATTTAAAAATAAACTTGATTATTTGTTAATGTTAACAACTGTCTCGACTCCGTGTGTCCCCGTGAGAAGCTGGGTGGTGGCAGCGAAGAAAGCAATCACAATGGTGGCACAGGGTCAATAGACCGTCAAATGTCCGGGGGCCCTGTGTGATCGCCACAAAATTGGTGGTGTAGCGGTGGGATAAAACATCGGTGGAATAACATCACTACCTGTCACCACAGAAGTGGTAGGCAAGTGGTGGGATTTGGTGGGAAAAACAATACACTTGGAGGGGGAAGGGTAAATCTGTGAAGGGATTACCTAGCCCGGGGGTGTAGTTGTGAGGTACCCAAGATAAGCTGCAAAGCCAAGATAACAAAGAGAAAGAGAGCTCAAAGTCTGTTCTGGTAGAGGGCTTAGGCTCGTGGTCAGAGGAATGAAGCTTGAAGGGTTAGAGAGAAAACCCATAGCAGACCTTTGGGACCAGAGTCTTGAGAGAAGCCTAGCCAGAAAGAAGAGTACTGAGAGGAAATTTCTCTTATTTGTTAATTTATTGATAATTCTCACTCACACAACATGCCACCCAAAAAGATAAGAAACCCTGTGAGGGAAACAACTTATGAAAGCTCTGAAGGAGAGGAGAATGGAAATCCTCAGAGAGAAGAGCAGAGTTTAGAAAATGTAACTAATATTCAACCTGAGGCAGAAGGTCCAAAATTCTCTGAAGAATTTGTAAAATGGAAGTTAGAACAAGAATATAAATTGGAATTAGAAAAGATTAGATCTGCACAAGAAATAGAAAGAATTAAAGCTGAGAGCGAAAGACTTAAGGCTGAGCAGGAGAGCGAAGGAATTAGGGCTGAAAGTGAGAGCGAAAGAATGCAATTTCAGTTGGAAATGAGGAAACTGGAATTAGCAGCTATGGAGAATCAAAATGATAGTAACAACACCAGTAGTCCAACTCAAGTGAAGGTAGATTTAAAGCGCTTTCCTGAGTTTAAGGAAAAAGATTGCCCTGAGGCTTTCATTATATCATTTGAAAGAGCTTGTCAAGACTTTCAAGTGAAAGATGAGGAGAAGATGACGATCCTTAGAGCCAGGATCAGTGGGTGATTAGCCCTAATTTATTCTCAAATGTCGGGGACCGATTCCAAGAATTTTGAGATATTTAAGCAACTAATATACACCTGGTTTGGGATTACCTCAGAACAACTGAGAAAGAAATTCAGAAGTGTGACTAAAGTGAGGGAGGAGACATACGCTCAGCTTGGGGCTAAAATCTCAAACTACCTCACAAAATGGTTAGAACAGGAGAGGGCAGACTCTGTTCCAAAAATCAGAGAAGTGTTTGCTCTGGAACAATTTTATGAAACAATAAACAGCCAATTAAAACATCTTATAAAGGAAAGACACCCTCAATCACTTCAAGAAGCCGCTAACTTAGCTGACCAAATAAACGAAATAAGGGACCATAGGTTTGATGAACCGAGTTTTGGCGGGAAAGTGTGGGGGACTAACAGAAATAAATTCCAACAAGCAAAGGGAAACCCCTCTTCAGAGAAAGACAAGGGAGATAGGCCATTGTCAAAAGGGCAAAATGACAAGGCCCAAGCCAACGCCAGTCTCACTGAGAAGAAAGGGTGGAAAACAAACTATACAAATCCCAAAGAAGTTCAATGCTGGGGATGTGGAAAATTTGGCCACAAAAGGTTTAATTGTAGATCTGGAGGAGAAAAGTCTGGTAATATAAGCCCTCAAAGAAAAACCTTTTGTATCAAAGAAGCTGAGGAGAGCCAAGCTAGTCAGGACAGGCCGAAGCCTGCTGAAGTAGTGGAGGCTAAAGTGGCACATTGCTATGCTATAAAACAAGATAATCTTCTTTTAAAAATGCTGGGGAAGATATTTGGATTGAAGGGAAGAGATTTCTGGGGTTAAAAGACACCGGGTCTCAAGTCACTATTGTCCACCCAGAGATCATCTGTCCCACCAAAATAATTCCAGGGAAAGTTATGTTAATTAAAAGGAATTTCTAAACACCCTGAGGTATTACCAGTTGCAGAAATCCATATTAAATTCCAAGATTGGTCAGGGAAGTGGCAGGTTGCTATTTCTGAGGAGATTCCTACTACTGTGCTGATTGGATGGGATCTCTTAGAGCATGTACAGAGTTCTTTTGTAGTTACTCGCTCCGGGGGGGGGGGTCAACCGTCACCCGATGCTGAGGGGAATGCTACTGTTACCCAAGGAGACAGAGCTGAGGAACAGAACTCTGAGGGGAGAAAACCAAGCCCTGCTAGTCCCTTTTGTAAAAAGCCAAAAACACAGTTTTGCCCAAGAACAGAAAGAAGATGCTGATTTAGTTAATTGTTTTGAGGCAGACAAATCAGATGAAGCCGATATAACATGCTGGGAAGGGAGAGGGGAGCAATTGTGCAATCTACAAGAAATAAAGATAGCTCCTACATTAACCCTTAATCAGCAGGTGGAGGTTAAGCAGATCCTACAAGATTATAAAGACATTTTCAGTAACACTACAGGTAGAGCTAAAGGAGTTATACATCATATCGACACTGGGGATGCTAAGCCTATTGCTGTCAACCCCTACAGAATAACTGGAGAGTATGTGGAGAAAGTTAGCAATGAGGTAAGGGCGATGCTGAAGGCAGGGATGATAATCCCTTCGGAAAGCCGCTGGGCAGCACCCATAGTGTTATTAGACAAACCGGATGGATCTATTAGATTTTGCCTGGATTATAGGAAGCTGAACCATGTCACTAAAGCGGATGCATATCCAATGCCCCGTTTAGATGACCTGATCGAAGCTATAGGCCAGTGTCATTACATCACCTGCCTAGACTTAACCAAGGGGTACTATCAAGTAGAAATGGACCCTAGGGACCAGGAGAAAACTGCGTCCAGAAGTCCCTTAGGGCTGTTTGAGTTTAAAGTAATGCCCTTTGGCTTAAAGAATGCGCCAGCAACTTTTCAGCGATTGGTGGACAAAATCCTGAACGGATTAAGAGAGTTCACAGTTGCTTATTTGGACGATATGGCTGTGTACAGTCCAACTTGGGAGAAACACAAAGAGCACTTAGGGATAGTGCTACAGCGAATTAAAGAGGCGGGCTTAACCATCAAAGCTAGCAAATGCCAGATAGGGGGCTTGACTATTCAATACCTGGGACACATGGTGGGAGGAAGAGTGATGAAACTTTTAGAGACAAAGGTAGAAGCCATTTCAAACTGGCCTACCCCTACCTTGACTTTAAGAAAGCTGACTTCATAAAACTTAGGGAAGTGCTGGGTGAGATCCCATGGACAGTAATACTAAAAGGAAAGGGAGTTCATGATGGCTGGGAGTTTGTTAAGAGGGAGATAGTACAAGCACAACGTCAGGCAATACCAATGAGACAGAAACATGGAAGGTGCCTAAAGAAGCCAGGGTGGCTATCTAAAGAACTTTTAACTGAGTTAAGATTAAAAAAGGATGTGTACAAAAAATGGAAAAGGGGGGAAACCACCAAAGAGGAATTCAAACAAATAGCCAGCACGTGTAGACACAAAGTCAGAAAAGCTAAAGCACAGAATGAACTCAGGCTTGCTAGAGAGGTTAAAAGCAACAAAAAAGGCTTTTATGGGTATGTTCGTAGCAAAAGGAAGAACAAGGAAACAGTGGGGTCACTCAGAGGAGAAGATGGTGAAATGCAAACAGGGGACACAGAAAGAGCTGAACTCCTCAATGCCTTCTTTGCCTCAGTCTTCTCCGATAAAGAAAACAATGCCCGACCTGAAGAATTTGGAGCAAATGATTCAGCAAAGGAAACACAGCCCAGAATAACTAAGGAGATAGTACAAGAATACTTGGCTAGTTTAGATGTATTCAAGTCTCCAGGGCCAGATGAACTGCATCCAAGAGTATTAAAAGAACTGGCAGATGTGATCTCAGAACCACTGGCAGTCATCTTTGAGAATTCCTGGAGAACAGGCGAAGTCCCGGCAGACTGGAGGAGGGCAAATGTTGTCCCTATTTTCAAAAAGGGGAAAAGAGAGGACCCAAATAATTACCGCCCAGTCAGTCTGACATCAATACCAGGGAAGATTCTGGAGCAGATCATTAAGCAAACAGTCTGTGAGCACCTAGAAAGGAATGCTGTGATCACCAATAGTCAGCATGGATTTCTGAAAAATAAGTCATGTCAGACTAACCTGATCTCGTTTTTGACAGAATTACAAGCCTGGTAGATGAAGGGAACGCAGTGGATGTAGCCTACCTTGATTTCAGCAAGGCATTTGACAAGGTGCCTCATGATATTCTTGTAAAGAAGCTGGTAAAATGTGGTCTTGACTATGCTACCACTCAGTGGATTTGTAACTGGCTGACTGACCGAACCCAAAGGGTGCTCATCAATGGTTCCTCTTCATCCTGGAGAAGAGTGACTAGTGGGGTGCCACAGGGTTCTGTCTTGGGCCCGGTCTTATTCAACATCTTTATCAACGACTTGGATGATGGACTCAAGGGCATCCTGATCAAATTTGCAGATGACACCAAACTGGGAGGGGTGGCTAACACCCCAGAGGACAGGATCACACTTCAAAACGACCTTGACAGATTAGAGAACTGGGCCAAAACAAACAAGATGAATTTTAACAGGGAGAAATGTAAAGTATTGCACTTGGGCAAAAAAAATGAGAGGCACAAATACAAGATGGGGGACACCTGGCTTGAGAGCAGTACATGTGAGAAGGATCTAGGAGTCTTGGTTGACCACAAACTTGAAATGAGCCAACAGTGTGACGCAGCAGCTAAAAAAGCCAATGCAATTCTGGGCTGCATCAATAGGAGTATAGCATCTAGATTAAGGGAAGTAATAGTGCCACTGTATTCTGCTCTGGTCAGACCTCACCTGGAGTACTGTGTCCAGTTCTGGGCACCACAGTTCAAGAAGGACATTGACAAACTGGAACGTGTCCAGAGGGAGGGCAACCAAAATGGTCAAAGGCCTGGAAACGATGCCTTATGACGAACGGCTAAGAGAGCTGGGCATGTTTAGCCTGGAGAAGAGGAGGTTAAGGGGTGATATGATAGCCATGTTCAAATATATAAAAGGATGTCACATAGAGGAGGGAGAAAGGTTGTTTTCTGCTGCTCCAGAGAAGCGGACACGGAGCAATGGATCCAAACTACAAGAAAGAAGATTCCACCTAAACATTAGGAAGAACTTCCTGACAGTAAGAGCTGTTCGACAGTGGAATTTGCTGCCAAGGAGTGTGGTGGAGTCTCCTTCTTTGGAGGTCTTTAAGCAGAGGCTTGACAACCATATGTCAGGAGTGCTCTGATGGTGTTTCCTGCTTGGCAGGGGGTTGGACTCGATGGCCCTTGTGGTCTCTTCCAACTCTATGATTCTATGATTCTATGATTCTATGATTCTATGATTCTATACCTCCAAGAAGAAAGTTAGAGCTTTCCTAGGACTAGCCAGTTATTATCGCAAATTTATTCCGAAATTTAGCGAGATAGCAGTGCCTTTATCTGACCTAACGCGGAAGAAGGAGCCAGACATGGTTAACTGGACAGCAGCATGTCAGCGGGCGTTTGACGCCTTAAAAAGCGCCTTGACATCAAATCCAGTCCTTGTTGCTCCTGATTATGATCGTGAGTTCACCGTCTTCACCGATGCATCCAATGCCGGGATCAGGGCCGTGCTGTGCCAACAGGGAGAGAAGGACGACCTGCATCCCATCACCTTCATAAGCAAGAAACTGCTACCAAGGGAAAGACATTATTCGACCATCGAGAAGGAATGCCTTGCCATCGTGTGGGCATTACAGAAACTGACGCCGTACATCTGGGGCCGAACTTTTACTTTATGTACTGACCATTCACCCTTGCTGTGGCTGAGAACCATGAAGACCAACAGTAAGCTGATGAGGTGGGCCCTATCACTGCAAGACTTTAATTTTACGGTTAAAAATGTGAAAGGGACCCTGAACACCATTGCAGACGCCTTATCCAGAAGACCTGCAATTGAAAGTTAACTGAATGCTTAAGATGTAACAGGTTTTTGTATAGATGTATATTTTACCAGAACACAGTATTTGATGTACAAATGTTAGGTGTGAAGTGAAGGGTGAAATGGCAGGTTAGGAAATGTTTATTTGCCATAAAGATGTACTGCTGATTGATCAGGAGAATAGCTAGGTTAAGTTATCCCTCCTGAGTCAATCTTCTTAAGGGGGGAGGAATGTGGCGTTTGCCTCCTAGGATGCGTCATAGGAAAGGGTTAAAATGAGTGTGATGTGATTGGCCAGTGAGAATGCAAGGGGGGAGTAAAAGTTAGAGTGGGAGACTTTGAAAGTCAGTTGAGGTTTGGGAGTTGAGAGTTGAGGTTTGGGAGCTGAAGAAGAAAGAGGGAGGATTAGGTGTGGGTTGGTAGAGATGTATTGTGAGAGGAATTGTCAGGTGGAGTCAGATAGATAGTTGGGAATAATCAGTTTGGAGTTGTTAGGAACTAAGATTAAGAAACTGACAAGAGAAAAATAAACTGAAACCATACGCTTGTTCCTGCATTTAAAAATAAACTTGATTATTTGTTAATATTAACAACTGTCTGGACTCCGTGTGTCCCCATGAGAAGCGGGGGGGTGGCAGCGAAGAAAGCAATCACAGTGGTGGCACAGGGTCAATAGACCATCAAACGTCCGGGGGCCCTGTGTGATCGCCACAGTAAGTAAGTAAGTAAATGGCTTAGTCATCCTCTATGGTGTAAAGGAGAAGGGAATGGACAGGTTGGCCAATTGTTATTGTGAAAGGTGCCCTTCCTTCAGGTAACCACAAGGGTCCAGCAATGTGATGGGAACAGGTGAGGGGTGAGTTATTTACCTGAGGGATACATCCCCTGGCACTGCCTATTCTCCTCATAAACTTTTTGTTTGATCCAAGCTATCTCCTTGTGAAACATGAATGCAGCAGATCTGAATGTTTGCGATCTGTAGTTGGGATCCTACTTCTGCGGAAACTGCTATGACTACCAGATTTCAGCAATATCTTCCCACAAGCATGTGATTTTGGCAACATTCTCCTCCATGTCAGCCTAAGTCAAAATGTTCCAAACAAATTAAAAATATGGGAAGCATGGGTGCAGCCAAGATTTATTTTAGGGGGGTCGGCTATGAAGTTGTGCCTCCGTTTCTTCCTCTTATGAATGAACTTTCCTTTTACTTGTGGACCATGGTATTTGTTCTTCCTCTACACAGGATTTGGCCTGTTACAAACCGATTATATCTGCCTCCTGTTGATGATGTCCTGCTGTCTTCACTGACATTGGGAGCTGTCCACCACTGTATAATTGTTGCAGAAGGGAACTTCAGCTTAGCAAAGGAGAATCAAACAAGTGTCCAGAGGAAAGTATTATTTCTTCTCCCCGCACCATGCCCCTCTTGTAGCATTTTTTGGATCAATCATTTTCAGGAGCCTCTGATCTGAGTAGCTTTAGGCTACCACCCTAAATGGACATCCCTTCTTGGATTTAGGCATAGGGGCCAGTGAACTGAGAAAATAGTTTCATTACGTAAAACTTTTATGATGCCTGCTAACATGAACCATAGGTTTCTTTACAAGTTGATGATCATTTATCTGATTCCAGTTTAACCTCCTTTAATATAGCATTTTTCTGCTATATCCATTTGAGTTTTCCATTAAACCTTTATTATTTCCTCCATTATGTAAAAACTGCATCAATACAAACTCATCTCACCTCCCTCCCTCTTCCCTCCATTCTGTGTCTTAGAGCCATTCTATTCCGTCAGAAACAGAAAAAAGCAGTTGTCATAATTAGGTTTTTCATTAATTAAACAACCACTGGCAGTACAAAGTATCTCTAATGCAACCTTTTATTACACAGAATGTCATTTTGATAGAGCAGTGAGTACTAGCTACCTGTTCCATTTGTTACACAAAGCATCAATTACTTAAGTGGTCCCTGAATACATCGTCCTTTGATTGCAAGCTTAATTGGTTGCGCAGCCAGTTGTTTCCATACTTTGTCCATTGCAAAAGACACCTATGGCAGAATCAGCTTAGGGCGGCACATCCCTTATTACCCAAATGGCTGTGAACTTTTCCAAAATCAGTGCTGATGATACTGGTGCTTCTCCTCCACTGGCAGAAGCAGCAGGGCAGGAGGGGCACCCATGGGCATTGTGCCTGGTTGGGGGCTTCTGCCACCTGGAGCAGCGTCCTCACCTGCCTCAAGGCTTGTTCGGCTCTGGGATCAGCCCTGTCTTTGGTTGCTTTGCTCTGTGAGGTTTTGCCAATTCTTCTTGGTCGAATTCTTCAATCACATGGTATTTGATTGTTTAGATTAATATGCAGTTTCATCTATTGTTTATCTCAGTGGAAAGGGATTACCATAACTGTCCATCCTAAAACTTCAATAGCTGCTGGACATTTGCTCAGTGTGATCTTCTCCCCTCCATCTGGTTTGAATAGCTGAGGATTAAAAGGTAAAGGACCCTTGATAGTTAAGTCCAGTCGCGGACGACCCTGGAGTTGCTGAGCTCACCTTGCTTTACTGGCTGAGGGAGCCTACATTTGTCCACAGACAGTCTTTCAACGTCATGTGGCCAGCATGACTAAGCCGCTTCTGGCGAAATCAGAAGAGTGCACGGAAACACCTTTTACCTTCCCGCAGGAGCGGTACCTATTTATCTACTTGCATTTTTTGGTGTGCTTTCGAACTGCTAGGTTGCCAGGAGCTGGGACCGAACAACGGGAGCTCACCATGTAACGGGGATTTGAACTGCCGACGTTTTGATTGGCAAGCCCAAGGCTCAGTGGTTTAGACCACAGCGCACCCGCGTCCGTTAGCTGAGGATTAGGTTCCATATATTCCTTGCAAAGGGTTCCATATTCAGTTTCAAGCACCTTGCACATGAAAGCACCAGGCCTGAGCATGAAAGCTCAAATGAAACCTCAAAGCAGAGAAGGTTAACTCATCAGCCTTTGGATGTTTCTGTTCTGGAGACCATCACCCCTGATCTTTAGTCACAAATAACAGCGACTCCAAGGAGCGCAGGACAGAAGAGTGAAGCAGCTTCAGAAACAGGGTTGGGAAGGGGGAAAGGGGGCTTAGTCATCTCCTAGGGTGGAAAGGAGAAAGGAAAGGACAGGTTGGCCAATTATGATGGGGTGCAGAGTGGACATGGCAGGTGGAGCAAGCAGAGAAGCAGAGCCCCTCATGTTTGAAAATATTTTTGTAAGTTGCTTTGAGTCTAGTTAGAAAAAGGTGTTTGCGAAAAAGGATGATGATGATGATTGCAAGAATGAGAAAAAGGACAAGAGAGCATGTGAAGATTGCCTTTCCTTCAAGTAAGCAAAGAGTCCATCATTTCACCTTTGAAATCTCCTTGCCCTGCATGTCCCACTCAACCTCTTCAATCGGTGGACTTGAATCTTTCTTTTTCTTTTTGGAAGAACTGTTTGAAGCTATTACTACTACCAGTGCTATTTCCTTGGGGATGCAGGGGTAACGCATACCCCTAAACATTTTGTGAATCTAAGTTTGGCCAGATTAAGAATGATCATTGTGGGAGGTGAGCATGTGAAAAGTCCCCTTCCTTCAGCTAATTGCAAGGGTCCAGCAATGTGGTGGGGACAGGTGAGGGGTGAGTTATTTACCTGAGGGATACATCCCCCTAGCACTGCCTATGTGGGGCATTGCATCCTCCTCAAAAAGGTTTCATTTGATTTAAGCTATCTCCCTCTGAAACATGAATATAGCACACCTGAATGTTTGTGATCTTGTGTGGAAACTGCTATGACTGACAGAATGCAGGAATGCCTTTGCAGAGGCACGTGATTTTGGTAACATTCTTGTCCACGTCAGCCTAAGTCACAACGTCCCCAAAAAATTACATTTATGCAATCTGCTTCTCCCTCCCAGCCCTCTCTTGGCAATCTTTGGGGCTCCATTTCGCTTAAAAGCTGGCTTTGCCTGGCTTTGCCACCACAATTCATCCTGAGCCATGAAGATCCTTCACCTGTGCTTGGCAGTTCTCTCTTTGCTGCTCCTGGCTTCCCCAGGTAAGGGATGGAGAGGAAGAAAACAGAGGGACACCTGCCAGCCGATTGTGGGGTGGAAGAGGGAGAGGAGTACAGTTGCTGTTCTGTGGCCTTGCAAAGGAAGCTCACTTTTCTTGCTAGAGACATTTCTTTAGTGGTAAAATTAGCATAAAAATGTATATATCAGACAAAACTGCCTACAAGGGTGCATCTATTAGGGGATATATGCACTGTGTTGCTGAATTTCCCCCATTATGCCCATAATTGCGATGCAATTTGCCAAGTTATAACCTATATTTTCATGCTATTGTCATGAAATTACACCTTTTCATGTACATTTTTAAAATACATTACTTGGAGGGAGAGCTGCCTTTCAGAGGACGGCTGTGCTTTGATGTTCACATGTTGACTTCATTATGGCAGAGTAATATAAGGAAAAAGGGACGTGGGTGGCCCTGTGGTTTAAACCACTGAGCCTCTTGGGCTTGCAGATCAGAAGGTTGGTGGTTTGAATCCCCACGACGGGGTGAGCTCCCATTGCTCGGTCTCTGGTCCTGCCAACCTAGCAATTCAAAAGCACATCAAAGTGCAAGTAGATAAATAGGTACAGCTCCGGCAGGAAGGGAAACGGCGTTTCCGGGTGCTGCTCTGGTTCACCAGAAGCAGCTTAGTCATGCTGGCCACGTGACCCGGAAGCTGTCTGTGGTCAAACGCCGGCTCCCAGAGTTGTCTGCAACTGGAATTAACTGTCAAAACAGTCCTTTACCTTTTTATTAATATATGGAAAATGGCATCGCATGTAAAACTGGTAAGGAAAAAGAAAAGCAGCCTCTTCTTTTCTCAGTTTGGTTAGATTTTATGCAATTCTATGCAAATTTATGGAATACGTTTTAGAAAATAAAATTTTGATTTGTCTCTTCCACAGGTCTGCCAATAAATTTGGGGTATAAAGTTTCTAATTAGTGGGAAATGTTTCTTGATGTAGTATACAGCCTTTTATTCTGGGTAGTCCTTGGGGCTCTGATGGCTTCAGTTCCAGGCTTTAGATTCTCTATAACGTATAAGCCATGTGTGCCTCACTTCTTGCTGTCGTGTTTCGTAGACTGACACCCTCCACTCAGGAGCAAATATCTGGATAAGCAGATTGACCATTTCTTCTTGTGAATGTAGCAAGCGTGGTAAACACCAGTGGCCAGTGGCAAGGGGTGGGGTGGGGGTAGGAGTTGGGATGCCACAGCACCCAGAGCGTCACAGAGCCACTCCTGTTCAAAGGGCTGTGGAGTTGTTCCTCTCTTTCATTTTATTGTGAATTAACTTCCTTCTCCCCACTTATGTTTGTTTCTCTCTTTGCACAGGATCTGCACAAGACGATGAACCTCAGAATAGAAGGCAATGCTTTAAAACCAATGGTATTTGCTTCCCAATGGTATTGGGTTGTCCCAATAATACTAAGAAGATTGGAAGGTGTAGTGATTATTATTCCTGTTGCCAAAGGTAATTTCAGCTTACCAAAAGAGTATTACACCTCCTGCACTTCTCCCATTAGCCTCTGGATTGATCATTTTAGGTACCCAATGCAGAGTGCCCTAAACTGATCATCCTTTGCCTGCAAGCTCAATTGCTCCATTGCAAAAATAAAAATAAAAATACCTATGCCAGAATGAGCCAAGGGTGGCACATCCCATTTTGCTGCTTGATGCAAAATGGTAATGGCTGCTTTGCCATTCTGCCAGGACGGCTCCTAAGCCCATCTACCTGCTCCTCCTGCCATGGCCTGATCTGCCACTGACACACACCATACCCTGTTGGTTGCAGGCACAGAAGCTGCACTACCATTGTTGCCCATTTTAAGCCAGATTGTGCTGAGTTCTCTCACCATAAGCAGAACCAGCAGGGCAGGAGGGGCACCAATGGGTTTATTGTCTGAGGGGCTTCTGCCACCAGAAGCAGGGTCCTCACCTGCCTCATGGCTGGTCCAGCTGTCTTTGGCCCCTTTGCCCTCTGAGCTTATGCCAGATCTCCTTTGCCAAATCCCTAAACCACACCGTATGGGCACATTTAATTTGTTGTGCAGCTTCATCCATTGTTTATCTCAGTGCCTAAGGGATGTCCATTCTGCAGCTTTAACAGATGCTGGGCTCTTACTCTGTGTGGTGTCCTGCCCTCCACCGTTTAAGATTACCTCAGTATCACATCCCATACATTCCATGCAAATCTCCCACTTTCAATTCCAAGCAGATTCATTATTATTTTATCTTTTAATGAAAGAAGCTGAGGCAGTAGACTTTTGTCTTGGGTGCATACAGAGAAATTAGCAACTGGACTGAATGAACCCAAGGGTGCCAGTTCTCCCGTGTTTCTCAAAACACTCTCACAAAATGGGGTGCAAGCTTCCTGTTAACCCTGAACTCTTCTTCAGGGCCACAAAGACAACAAATCCCTGCCGTGCATAACATCCAGTCTGCAGGAGAATATTGGAATCCTTGCAAGCTCATTCATTATTCCATGACATATTTAATTGTACCTAGAAAAGAAAGTCCCCCAGGGCTAGGGGTGTCTCAGAGACTGCATTCAATTCTCATCGAAAGGGGAATCTATGTAATTCATAGTTTCTGGAAATGAAAAACTGAAACAGACCTATCCCTACCCAATGGTTTATTATCATGAAAACTTTCTTGTGGTCCAACATGCCTTGCTTTGTATTTTTGTGTCTCAAACATGGTCACTTTGCTATGAAACCAAGTTAACTGTTGTCTTTTTGTTGCTGGTTTCTATGTTTTAGACAGAAGGAGTGATAGATGCCTTTGAAAAGTGGAAGATGCTCCCTCTCTTTGAGAGCTGCTGGATCCCGCTTCATCCCCAGTTAGGGACTTCTTCTCCAAAGCATCCAGATTGAAAAAGCAACATTTTCAAGGCTTACCTGAGCTTGTGCCTTGCAATAAAAGCAGATCCAAAAGCCTTTTCCCTCTGTTTTTCATTTCTAAGCATGAGTGTTCTTGCTAGTAAAGCCAAAATGGCACCTTACGTCCATGAGAAGGAGGTGTCAGCAAGCATGGTTTGTGGAGAGGCCCAAAACGTCATAAGAAAGGAAGACTAAAAGGGGATGAGGATCTCTCTATACAGTCTAGCGAGCAGGATTGGGCCACAATGTGGAAAATGAAGAGTGGTAAAATATGGAGGGTGGAATGGGAGGGAGAAGAAGATGTTTCCTTTTAAATAGGAACCAATCTGAGTTGTAGTCTTTGAAAAAGTATGCCAGTTGAAATTTAGTCATCCTTCCAAATTCACAGGTCTCTGAATTTTGGGGTTATTGAACTGACCAGACCAGATCTGGAAGTTTCCTCTTATAGATTCTAGGCCCCTCCAGCTAAAGGATTACAGGATGGGAAGTAGCCCTGGCTTTTACAGAAACTAGCCCCACAAAGCCCACTCATTACAGTATGTTGGGCATAATTGCATGCACATGTGCCTACCTGGAAGAATTCTTTATCCTAGGATCCCATGGCTTCCAGTTGGGTGAGATAAGAGAATGCACATCCATTCCTCTCTATGGCAACAGAGCTCACTCTTTTAAGATGTGAATGGTGGGTACTTAGCTGAATGGCTATATACCTCCAGACATAATTTTATTGGAGTGGTGCCTTTCCATAGTTCATACCATGCTTGAGGTGGCTTGCAAGATGGAAAATAATAATAATTACAACATAAAAATTTAGTCTTAAATCATTCAAAAACACACAAACTGAACAAATTAGAGATAATTTATAGGATCCGAAATAAAGATACTAAAAGGTTTGCTTCTGGAGATCTGCAGACATCCTGACTACACTTAAGATGGGTGGGGTATAAATACAGTGGTGTAGCCTTATCAGACTTTACCGATTGGTGGGCTCTGCGTTGCTCCCGGACAGGAGGAAGGAAGTCAAATGACACCGAGGGTTGGTTCAGAGAAAGAGTTCTTTATTTCTGCTCTCCGGAAAAGCAGAAAGGCACTTGCGTGGTCAGTCCACAGCAAGTCCAAAGAAATGAGAAATTTCATGCAGTATATATATCCTCCAGGCACCCTCTCCCTCCTTCCCCAGGAATCCAACCACGTCAGCCTATACACGCAGGTTGACATCACATATGTTCCTGCTCCGGTATTTTTAACCATAAAAGGGTATTCCTTCCTGTACTTCTGACCATAAAAGGGTATTTCTGTTCTTATACTCTTAACTTGGAGCAAGAGGTCACCAACTCCAAGAACACACTCTGGCGCTGTTCCCGGACTAGGTCTGTGCATCTTTGTGGTCTTTGTGGTCAGGATGTAAGATAAGGCCCAGAGTGTCATCCCTGTTCCACTCTGGAATGGACAAAGCCATCCGTCATTACCAGCCTTCATAGACTGATAAGGGAGAGAACTTTGAGCACTTGTTTATACAGCTGGGTTTTGCCTCAAGAGCTGAAGTTAAAGCATTTTAGCTAAGGAAAAATAGGGATTTTGGTGCAGTTTCAAACTGCCTGCACAGTCAGTTTTGGGTTTGGGAAACCCATTCCTTCAGTGGTACCTCTAGTCACAAACTTAATTCGTTCTGGCGATCCATTCTTAACCTGAAACTGTTCTTAACTAGAGGTGTGCTTTCGCTAATGGGGCCTCTTGCTGCCGCTGCGCTGCCGGCACACGGTTTCCGTTCTCATCCCATGGCAAAGTTCTCAACTCGTGGTAACTCTTCCAGGTTAGCGAAGTTTGTAACCAGAAATGTTTCTAACCTGAGGCGTTTGTAACTGGAGGTACCACTGTAGTAAAATTATTATTCATAATAAAACAGGATGTCCCTATTTTCATGGAAGGAATTTGGGAGGATTTCTTGAGAACAGCAAGGGACCCTATATGGAGAAAGCAATGGGGAGACTCCATCTGTTTCTCTTCTTCCAAGAATCACAACTATAATTCAGTGTCCCCAACTCTTCCCCTTTGTGTCCTGCCCTGAAGGCCACAGCCATCTGGCCTCTCTTGCCCATCTGTGCTGTGGCTGGCCTGTTTCTCCTTTGATCTCCTAGCGTAGAGTTTGGAGGTGACTTCTAATCCTAAAGTCCAAGAGAGAGAAGTGTGAGGAGGAGCAGGAAGATGTAAAACAGGGTGAAAGCTAAGGTGTATCAGCCTAAACAACAACGAGATTCAGAGGTACGCTGAGAGTGGAGGAACTACACCACTCTAAGGGTGAATCTACACACAGGGAGAAATGTCGGGAAATCTACTGTTGAGAAGTGGAACTGTTATTTTTTCAACTCTGAAGCACATTTTTCAACCTCTGAAGCACATCTTTCATATGATGTATATGCTGTTCTTGATTCTCTGAATAAATCAAAATGTTATCAAAACAGTCCACCAGGACTCTGAGTATGTAGCTGATGAAATCTTAGAACGTTGCTGCTCCTGACTGAAATGTTATCTCCCTCTCTCTCCCTGCCTTCTCTTGGCAACCTTTGGGGCTCCATTTGGCTTAAATGCTGGCATTCAGCTTTGCCACGTCAACTCATCCTGTACCATGAAGACCCTTCACCTATGCTTGGCAGTTCTCTCTTTGCTGCTCTTGGCTTCCCCAGGATTTTTAGGAAGTCGTTAGTCTGCACCAGGCGTCCTATTGTGAAGACCCAGTTTTCTGAGTTCATGTTCTGGGAGTTGTGCAATAGGGGCAGTACAGGATTCCTTTTGGTGTACTGACCTCCCCGCTGCACCAAGGATTCCCTGCCTGAGCTGCTTCCTGGAGACACCTAGTTTGGTTGTCCTAGGGGATTTTAACATCCAGATCTGCCGCAGTCATGTTTCAGAATGAAATAGCTTGGATCAAATGAAAATTTTATGAGGAGGATACAATGCCCAGGGATTTATCCCTCAGGTAAATAACTCACGCTTCACCTGTCCCCACCAGATTGCTGGATCCTTGCAGTTACCTGAAGGAAGAGCATTTTCACAGGCTCATATCCCAAAATTATTATTAGTTGTAGTCATAATAGCATCAAACAATTCTTAAAAAAAATAATCCAAGTCGACCAATTGAAGAGGTTGAGTGGGCACATGCAGGGCAAGGAGATTTCAAAGGTGAATTGATGGACTCTTCAGCTTACTTGAAGGAAGGGAAATTTTCACATGTCTCCTCCTCCTCCTCCTCCTCCTCTTCCTAACTCACCACCACCATATCTCTCAGACACCTTTTTCAAACAAAACTCAAGACAACTTAAAAAATAATTCAAAACTGGAGGGGCTCTTCTTCTCTGCTTCCTCCACCTGCCATTTCCCACTCTGCACCCCATAATAATTGGCCAGCCTGTCCTTCCCTTTCTCCTTTCCACCCTAGAAGATGACAAATCCCCCTTTCTCCTTCCCAACCCTGTTTCTGAAGCCGCTTCACTCTTCTGTTCAAAACCCCCTGGAGTCGCTGTCAGTATGGCTGTAGATTGGGGGTGATGGCATCTCCAGATCAGAAACATCCAAAGGGCAACAGGTTCAGGTCCAGTCCTGGTACTTTCTGTTGGGATACTGCCAGGGAGATAAAGTCCATCAAGACCCCCAAGCCGTCTGCCGGACGATCCATCAACCTCCCGTAGGCACGCAGCGGCATGAGTTTCTAGAAAATATCTTGCCACATTCTAGAGCTCATGCACGCTCTATCAGCAGATAATGCACAGCCAAAAGTTGCACTCAGGAGAGCATTATTTACAAGTTTATTCAGCGTTGATCAGAACACAGAAAAACATGACTGCCTGCTTTAGTGTCTGCGACACAGAGAGAAAAGCGAAAGCAACAGAAAACATAAACATCCTGTGAACAGGAAATACGCAGACTCTGACTCACAAAGCCTGCTCCCTTTTAAGGTGGAACGGAAATATCCTAACATCCTCCCCCTTTCCGTGTAACCTGTAGTACCTGTGGTTCAACCCAATTGCAACCTTTGTACGTAAACCTTAAGTTGTTCTCTGTTAACAACCTTAGACAACAGATCAGCAGGAATTTCATTTCCTGGCATGTAGGACACCTGAATGAGTCCTTTCTCAATACACTCTCTTGCACGATGTAGCTTAATCTGCAAGTACTTGGTCCTTTGCTTGCAACTCTCCGAGTTCAGCAAAGCCAAACACGATCTATTGTCTTGATACACTTGTACAGGACATTTCACAGAAACTCCGATGTCCTTAAACAGTTGCATCAACCATTCACAATCCATGAGTGAAAATGACAGAGCATTGAGTTCTGCTTCACAGGAACTTAGGCTCACTGTCGTCTGCTTTTGCACAACCAGTCAAACAGGCAGTGGTTGTACATGTAGCATACTCCAGAAGTGCTTGTACCATCCGTGGTGTCACTTCCAAAACTTGCATCTGCAAAGATTTCAAGACCTCCAGTCTTCTGACTGGTGAACCTCAGCCTGTAGTGCATAGTCCCTTTCAAATAGCGGGCTATGCGCTTCAGAGCTTTCCAATCCTGAACAGTAGGATTGTTGGCATGTCTGCTAAGCAGGTTAGTGCTTATAGCTATGTCAGGTCTTGAGCATCTAGCAATGAAATTCAACTTGCCTAGAATGCATCTGTACAGCGTAGTGTCAGAAAACGCTTCAGCAGTACTGTCTACCTGGTAACCTGTCACCATCGGTGTGTCTGCTGGGTTTGCATCAACCAAATTCAACCTGGTTAATACATCAGCAATTTTCTGTGTTTGGTGTACCAGAAAATTACCAGTTTGGTCTTTCTCCACCTGCAGAGAAAGATAGTTGGATACCTCACCAAGATCCTTCATGTCAAAGTGCTCCTTCAGCTGAGCTAGGGTGCTTTGGTACAAAGCCTGATTCTTCCAAAACATCAGAAGATCATCAACAAAACATAAACAATACAGTTTGTTTTGCCCCTCCTCCTTGACAAACACACATGGATCAGCTTTGCCCTGGTGGAAAGCTAGAGAAAGCAACGTCTCAGTGAGCTTTGTTTTCCAATACCTGGCACTCTGCTTGAGACCATATAAGGATTTCCGCAGTTTACAGACCATTCCCTTCTGTATCTGCATCCCATCAGGTGGAAGCATAAACAGCTCCTCCTCCAAAATCCCGTACAAAAAGCTGTATTAATGTCATGATGGGAAACATGCAGTTTCTCCTCTGCAGCTATCTTGAGCATCAGCCGAATGCTCTCATATTTGACGGTGGGTGAGTAGGTCTCGTGGTAATCCTGTCCTGGTACCTGTGAAAAACCTCTGGCAACCAATCTGGCTTTGTGTCTGACAACCTTGCCATTCTGGTCTGTCTTGGCCTTGAAGACCCATTTGCTGCCAACCAGTCTCATCCCTGGGACTACCGGTACCAACTCCCAAGTTTGGTTCCTGTTCAAGGAATCAACTTCAGCCTTCATGGCATTAAGCCAAGGCTCAGCATCTTTAGAGGTTAACTCCTGAACCTCTTTGAAGCTTGAAGGTTCCACACCTTCTCTGAGCTACTAAGAACAGCAGTTGCTGTCTTAGCAAACTCATCAGCAAATCTCTTTGGAGGTCTGCCCTTGGTCGCTCTTTCAGATCTGTGTACTAGACGCAAGTCTTCTGGACTCATCTCCTCCTTCTTAGGAGAAAAGTGACCAATGGTGAACAGTGGTTCTTCCAGTTCATTGTCAGACGCATCAGATGGTCTGACTGAGGCCTTTGCGCTCTTGTAGTCTGCTGTGTCATTACTGTCACTGACACCAGCAGCAGCGCCGCCCACTGAACTGGAATCCGAACTCTGATCATCATCATCATCATCATCATCCTCAGCAGCTTCCTCAGCTTTAGCTGCTTCTTTCACATCACCTTCATCCTCCTCTGGGTAACTCTGGAAAATTCCCACATTTTCCCCCCACTTAGGATTGTACTCAACACTCTTTGTGAACTTAATGGACTTAGAGTCAGTCATCCATACCCTGTATGCTCCTTTTTCGTACCCCATGAACAAATCATGTGCCCCACGCTTCCCAAGCTTGTTGCTCTGTGGGGTGTGTACCCACATGTCAGAACCAAAGATTCTCATGTGTTTGATGTTGGGTTTCTTACCAAACATCTTCTCATAGGGGGTACAACCAATAGGTGATGACAACCTGCGATTAAAAGTGTAAACAAATGAGTTCAAAGACTCCCCCCAAAACTTCTCAGGGAGATTGGCATCATGCAACAATGTTTTCAGTCCTTGCAACAATGTTTGCTTTGCTTGCTCACAAATCTCCCATGGAGATCCAGGACTTGAGAGGCTATGCTGGATTCCCTTCTCAGGCAGGAAAGCTTCAAACTGCTGAGAAGTGAATTCAGCCTCTCGATTAGTAAACAAACAGCCAATGCGTTTACCGTGAACATTCTCCAACCAAGCACAGAATGCCTTGAACTTAGGAAACGCTTGCGATTTCTGCTCGAGCATAAACACATGAATGTACCTGGAAAAAGAATCAATTAGAACCATGAAGTACCTTGCTCCACCCAAAGAGGGCGCAAGTGGACCAACCAGGTCTGCATGCACTAGCTGGTAGGGTTTGGAAGCCTGCCTGCTAGACTCCTTGCCTTTTGGAGCAACCTTCACCTTGTTCTCTGCACAAGATACACATTTCATGTGAAACTTACAGGGTTTGATGTTCAAACCCTCAACCATCTCTGGCATCTTGGCCAGTGCCTTCCAAGAGAGGTGACAAAACCTTCGATGTGCATTGTGAATGCATCCTGCATGAAGAACCTTGTTAGTTTGTGCAACACAACAAGAATCAGCATTAGACACAACAGCACCATTGTCGTCATAAGTTATACAGAATAAGCCATCCATAAACTTTGCATGCAAAATGTCCTCTTTGCCTTTTCTGATGACACAGACGCTCCTCTTGAAGGAAATCTCAAAACCACGCCCAGTCAACTGTGGGACACTGAGCAAATTGTCTGCAGCACCTGGAACATATAGTACATCTTTGATGGTTGTGTGCAGACTTGCCAGTCTCACAGTCCCTTCTCCTGCGATTCGCAACGTCTTTCCGTCAGCCAGGTGGATCTCACCTTCTTGAGGTTTGAAGGAGATAAATAGGTGGCGGTCTTTTGAGACATGGCGGGTACAGCCTGAATCAACAACAAACCTGGCTTTGGCCTTTGGGGCAGCCTTTGCAGCAAGCAAAACCTTGTTTTCCACCGGCGTGGGCATTTGCAGCTTGCCCCCCTGCTCCTGGCCATCAGACTTGCCTTTAGCCTTTGGTGAAGCTGTGCCAGCAAACAAAGCCTTGTTTTCCTCTGGCGTGGGCTCTTCACCCTCCCTCTGCTTCTGGCCATCTGCAGGCGTCTGCCTCTGTTTACCTTTGCCCTTCCGGCCTCTGCAAAGGCGATGACCTTGGTTCCCATGAGAAACAGAGCTCTCAGCTGCCGACTCCTTGGCTCCCCCTGGAGGCTGGAATGCTGCCTGGGATGACGTGACAGTCAGCTCCCCCTGCAGCTTGCAACCGGTGCCCTCGGCATCCCTGCATTCACTCGCATTCTGGGAAACAGCCAGGCCCTCCGACGCAGTCAAACTCTGGGCTGGGATGATTGGCAGATGGGCTACTTTCAAAGCATTCCACATCTTACGTGCAGTCACATTGCCAGCTAACGTTTTAATTTCCTCCAGAGAGACGGACAAGACTATTATGTCTATCGCCTTCGAATTTTCGGCCTTCCATCTATCTGTCAGAGGAACTGGAGGGGCCTCCCACACAGTATGCCACACTCCAAACTGACGCAGCAAACTCTCACACCATTTTGCCCAGGTCTGGTAGTTGTGCCGATTTAACTTTGGGCACTCAGCAGCCTCAGAAGCTTGGAAAAACTCCATTCCAGCTTTTTACTTGAGCCGTGAATCTTATTCACTTCAGAGACGTCTTATCTCGGCAGCTCATAAATCTTGAGGCCTTTGGCGCAGCTTCCAGATCCATTAGTCCTGCCGGACATCAAAAGCCCTTGCCGCGGCAAACAGAAAAGCCTCACTTTCGCTTTTCCTCCACATACCTTTCAGCAGTCTGTCGCAGTCTTACTCTCCTGTAAGTGCTGTGAATCTGGGCCCGAAACCTGTTGTTGGGATACTGCCAGGAGATAAAGTCCATCAAGGCCCCCAAGCCGTCTGCCGGACGATCCATCGACCTCCCGTAGGCACGCAGCGACATGAGTTTCTAGAAAATATCTTGCCACATTCCAGAGCTCATGCACGCTCTATCAGCAGATAATGCACAGCCAAAAGTTGCACTCAGGAGAGCATTATTTACAAGTTTATTCAGCGTTGATCAGAACACAGAAAAACATGACTGCCTGCTTTAGTGTCTGCGACACAGAGAGAAAACGAAAGCAACAGAAAACATAAACATCCTGTGAACAGGAAATACGCAGACTCTGACTTACAAAGCCTGCTCCCTTTTAAGGTGGAACGGAAATATCCTAACACTTTCATGCCCAAGGTGCTTGGAACTGGAAGTGGGACACTTTGCATGAAATATATGGGAGCTATCTTAGATCCTGAGCTATCTAAACAAGGTGGAGGGGGGACGTTTTATGCCTCTGCACAACCATGCCTGCTGACACCTCCTTCTCATACAAGAAGTGAGGCATGCATGGCTTATGAGTTGTAGAGAAACTAAAGCCTGTAATTGTACTCATGAGAGACTCAAGGGCTACCCAGAAAAAGGCTCTTTATTGCATCAAAAAACCTTTCCCACTAATTAGACACTACATGCGCCAAATTTCTTGAGAGACTTGTGGAAGAGACAAATCTAAATATTATTTTTAAAAACGTATTCCACAGAGAGGTTAGGCTGGCCCGATTTTGGGTTCCGCCAGATTTTGTGCTGCGTTAAATTTGACAGAAGGAGCCTGTTGCTTTAACATCTCTGACCATGGTGTAGCTATTCGACACCTGGCAACAGAAAGAAAGAAAGTAACCCATGTTCCTGTCTCTACCTGGAACGGATGGGACATGTCTTGGTTGACTGAGTGGCTTAGAGGACTTGTAATGATGTTAATGGACTAATCTTGCTTCTTTTCTGCTCCTGTGTGGGAGTCATAAAGCCACGGCAAAGGCTTGTAATATTGCAGGTTGCCCCCTGACCTCGGCTGACCAGCACTCTGAGCTTTACAATGTATTAGAATGTATTGACCTTAAATGGAGTTGTGTTTCCTCTGGGCAGTGATGACCCTATATGGTGATGGGTGTAATAAAAGCCTTGACCGGATGAGGTAACGTGAGACATTGGCAAACGGCCATGCGGCTGGAGAGAGACAAAGGATAATAAAAAAGCTACGGGAGGAGAGAGAAGTTCGAAAGGAGCTGCTCATACCATCCTGAAAATATTGCTGGCTCTCTGTGTCTTTATTTTATGCTAAACTGCGCCACTTGTAACGGCTGGCTCCGACAAGTGGTGCCCCGTGTGAGGCTGAATAAAAGAAGACGTCTGAGGCTTTTAAAAGAAAACCGTGTGAGGTTTTTCGATTCACGCAAAGGATATGATCGGCTCACCACGCCCGGCAAGGGTTGCAAGCGCTAATCATCTTAAAAAGATCCCGGTGAGTTCGATCTCTTTTTTCTATCTTGATTTTAGAAAAATGGGCAGCTCTTTGTCTACTCCCCAACAGGAATTTTTAAAAGACTTAAAATTTCTCCTCTCCTCCAACAAATTGGAAGTTCCGGAGGGTGATTTGATACAGCTCATTCTGGCCATCGAAGAGCATTCCCCCTGGTTTCCTGCAGATGGGACTTGGGAATTAAAACTTTGGGACAAGATTGGGGCACATTTTCATGGGCACCCCAGCATAAGTGTTCGGATTCTAAATGCATGGTGCAAGGTTCGTTACGCCATGGACTCTTTATCACCAAAAAATATATCCATGGCTGCATTGCCAACACAACCTTCAGCTTCTTTAATTCAGCCTGCTGTGTTAGAGTCTGTTCCAATACTTGCTTTGCCAGCAGCCCCAGACCCCAAACCTCCGGACTACAGTTCCTCACCTGAGGACCCAATCCTGCAAAAATACCATGGTCTGGCTGGCAATGATCCTGCTCTTTCAGCGGCAGAACCAGAACCAGAACCTTTTCAACGTGCAGTCCTTGGCTGTTCCTTAATTCAGGATACTATGGCATTCCCTGTTATTGTGCCCCCTGCTGGTACCCCGGCAGGCGCCCAAGCCCAACACCAACCTTTTGACTTTAAGATTTTGAAAGAGCTGCAACAGTCAGTAAAGGCCAATGGACTCCAAGCCCCATATACGCAGGCGCTTTTAGAAGCCACATTAGCCCAGCCCTTGGTTCCAGAGGACATCAAGCTTTTGGCTCATACAGTGTTACCCCCATCAGCTGGTGTTTTGTTTGCCCACGAATGGGAAACTGCCTGCCGTGCTTATGCTCCAGCCTTGTTACAACAAGTCAGAGGAAATAATCCAAATGTTACCCTCGCAGACGTCACAGATGCCATGATGGGGCGTGGTCCCTTCGTTCAAGCTTCAGTGCAAGCCACACTGCTGCAATTCTTATTGAGGGACACTGCTCTTGCTGCTAAACAAGCAATGAGAAAAATCCCAGAACCCAGTATTCAATCAAGGTGGGGTTCAATCAGGCAAGAGGCAAGAGAATCATATTCTTCCTTTATGGATAGACTGCTTACAGCAGTGAGTCGCCAAATTGAAAATCCTGAAGCCAAACAAATAATTATCAAACAACTGGCCTTTGAAAATGCCAATGAGGATTGTAAACTTGCGTTACGACCAATAATACACAATCCTGCCACAGACACAGCAGCCATGCTTCGCATTTGTCAGTCTGTAGGTACAGCCACCCACAAGGCTCATCTGCTGGCAGCAGCGCTAAATGAAAACCAGCCTGTAGCCACCGATACAACTTGTTTCCAGTGTGGCAAACCAGGATCACCAATACCCCAGTGGGGGTAGAACAGTGGCCTCTACCAAAAGAAAAATCCGCAGCAGCGGCACCAGCTATCTCTGACCAACTTATTTCTGAACAATTGACTTTCGGCCACATTGAACCATCTTCATCCCACTGGCTCCAGCAGACAGGGAACGGTTTGCTTTTACATTGCCAGTATATAACAATTCGCAGCCCACCCAGCGATATCAGTGGGTTGTCCTGCCTCAAGGCATGCGGAACTCCCCTACACTTTGTCAACATTTTGTGGGTGAAGCATTGAAACCTTTCCGCATGCGCCACCTAGAGGTGCTGCACACGAGCTGCATCTGGCAGTGTTTGCCTTCCTAACCATTTGCCTTGCCATCCTTTGCTGCACCGTTATACAAGGAAGAGAAGCAGACGACCCTGTCCAGTTGAAACCACCATATTTCACCTTATCGGCTGGCAAGCAGCTGTCGCCAGAATCCTACTCTGGCTGGCAGTATCCACGGCTCAGCCACTTTCGAACTAGAAGAACAGCGTTGTTGAATAAGACTTTTAGGGGAGAAAATTATCATAAGATATGGAGGGATAATATTTTTGTACAAGATATGATTATGTTTGCCAGTTTATTGCATGCTTCTAAATGTTGAGTGTGTATGCCAGTCATTCCAGCATAATGCTTCATGGTGTGCCTGTCAAGGGATCCTTTCAATTTACTAATATTATATCCCCTAAGCAAACTTTTTGGCCTCCAGTACAATTGACCCTCCATGAGCCTGCCCCCATTTGTTTTCAAATTAAAGAGGGGAAAGAATCATGGGGCATATATCCAAACTGTCAATATACATTGAATTTCACTTTTAATAGCTCTTGTTCTCTTACAGGAACATACAGTGACCAATCTCAGTGCTATAGAAGCGATACCAGTGCATGGCTAAAAACTAGGAAAGAATCCTACCATGCAAATTGGAGTCTGAATTCTTCTATCCCTGGCTTAGCTAATGCCACGGATGAGCAATTTCGTATCAGTTCCTTATTTACTGCAGCCTTTAATTGGTCCCAACAGAGTAGTAATATCAGCTATTTACTCCAAAGAGAGTTATGGTTGCTTTGTGGCGAAAAAGCATACAAAGCCATTCCTCGAAACCTCACAGGCACATGTACATTGGGTCTCGTGGTTCCATTGTTGTATAAGGTTGATAAGTTACCATCTTCTCTTAGACTACGAAATCGTCGGGAGGTTAATTCGCCCTTAAACCAATATATCGGTACCCAGATCTCTCGGGCCTTGCTGCCCTCAGTGGGCGCAGCAATGAACCATAGGGACCTCCATCGGCTAGCAAATTGGACTGAAGGATTATTCAATGATACCATAAAGGCTTTGAAGAATCTCAACCAGGAGGTGTCTGCAATGAAAGCGGTGGTTTTACAGAATCGTTATACTTTGGATGTGATTTTAGCCTCAAAAGGAGGAGTTTGTGCACTTGTTCATTCTCATTGTTGTATGTTTATTCCTGATAATAATGTCAGCATATCTGCGACGATTGATCATATGGAAACCATGGTAAGAGCAAACGGATTGTGAGTTACAGTGGTGCCTCGCAAGACGAAATTAATCCGTTCCGCGAGAGTCTTCGTCTAGCGGTTTTTTCGTCTTGCGAAGCAACCCTATTAGCGGCTTAACGGATTAGCGCTATTAGCGGTTTAGCGGCTATTAAAGGCTTAAAGGCTTAGGGGATTAGCTGCTAAAAGGCTATTAAAGGCTATTAAAGGCTTAGCAGATTAGATAAAGGGGGGGGAAGCGAAAAAAAAATCTCAAGACTCGCAAGACATTTTCGTCTTGCGAAGCAAGCCCATAGGGGAATTCGTCCTGCGAAGCAACTCCAAAACGGAAAACCCTTTCGTCTAGCGGTTTTTCCGTCTTGCGAGGCATTCGTCTTGCGGGGCACCACTGTAACTCACAATCCGTTTGCTCCTCTGCCTTCCGTTGATCCATGGGCATGGTTATATTCTTGGCTTCCAGATGGAAGTTGGCTTCGACATTTATTGATTTTAGTGATCATTATAGTAGTTATTTGCGTTATTTTGTGTTGCTGTATACAATGTATTCCTTCTTTAATTTCTATATGTACTGCATGGTTCTCCAGTCCGCGGCCCGCTTCCGGTGTCACAAGAGTTGCTTATCGCGCTCGATATAACCGTATTGGTACTGACATATATGACTCTGATTAATAAAATAAAGAAAGAGGGCATGTGGGAGTCATAAAGCCACGGCAAAGGCTTGTAATATTGCAGGGTGCCCCTGACCTCGGCTGACCAGCACTCTGAGCTTTACAATGTATTGGAATGTATTGACCTTAAATGGAGTTGTGTTTCCTCTGGGCAGTGATGACCCTATATGGTGATGGGTGTAATAAAAGCCTTGACAGGATGAGGTAACGTGAGACATTGGCAAACGGCCATGCGGCTGGAGAGAGACAAAGGATAATAAAAAAAGCTACGGGAGGAGAGAGAAGTTCGAAAGGAGCTGCTCATACCATCCTGAAAATATTGCTGGCTCTCTGTGTCTTTATTTTATGCTAAACTGCGCCACTTGTAACGGCTGGCTCTGACACTCCTGTATACCCTGCTTAAATGCAATGCTTGCAAAATATGATGCGTAAAATGATGTCACAAATGATTCGGCCCCAGATTATAACACTGACATGAGAATACCAGCCAGTGCCTTGGGATGAGCCGTAAGGCTGTCCAAAAGAAGAGGAGGGAATGAAGGAATGGGTTTCTGTGTAGTAAGTTTAAAACTGACTCAAACCCGCCCCCCCTTTTTGTTCTTTCAAAGAGAGCACTTTTAAGTGCGTAAAACTTGAGCTGTTGAGCAAAAACATAAACAAGCTCTCTCCTTTATCAGTCACGGCAAGGGATGGCCTTGGCTCTCTAAGGGAACAAAGAAAACACGTCAGAACTTTATCTTATGTGCTGACCACAAAATACGCGCAAGACCAACGTCCGGGAAAAACACCAAAAGCGTGTTCCCGGAGATTATGACATCTTCCCAGACAAGAGTAGGAAGAGGAAGATCCTTTTATGGTTGAGAGTACCAGAGCAGGAACATATGTGATGTCTACTTGCGTATACAAGTTGACGTGGCTGGGGAAGGGGGAGAGGATGCCTGGAGGATATATATACACTGCATGAAACTCGTCATTTCTTTGGACTTGCTGTGGACCTGATCAAGCAAGTGCCTTCTGCTATCCAGAGAGCTGAATAAACTCTTTCTTTGAACCAACTCGGTGTCATTTGACTTCCTTCCTCCTGTCCCGGAGCAACGCAGACCCAGTCGGTGAACTCCAATAAGGCTACACTGGCTGTATGCCAAGTTGGAAAAATGACAGTTCCACGTCTCAACAGTAGATTTCCCGACATTTCTCCCCCTGTTTGTTGATTCACCCTTAGAGTGGTGTGGTTCCTCCCTCTCAGAGGACCTCTGAATCTCTTTGTTGTTTAGGCTGATACACCTTAGCTTTCATCCTGTTTTACATCTTCCTCCTCCTCACACTTCTCTCTCTTGGAGTTTTGCTCCATTTTGAGTGTTACGCTTGCATTACGAGTGTTATGCTGAGGACTGTCTTTTTTTCCTATTTATTTTGCCTTTTTGTTTTTGAGGCCCTTTTTGGAATTGTTTTTCTGAATGTTTGGAACACAGTTCAGCTACTGATTGATTGATTGTGGGTTAGCAGTACATTGTTGATTGTTTTCACTTTATGAAACAATGCTCTCATTAGATAATAAAATTCATGTTAAATTGATGTTTTAGGGGTTGTTTTTAAAAGTCTGGAATGGATTGATCCATTTTGCATTCGTTTCTATGGGAAAGCGCACCTTAGTTTTGGAACGCTTTGGTTTTGGAAGGCACTTCCGGAACGGATTAAGTTATATGTATAGCCATTCAGCTAAGTACCCACCATTCACATCTTAAAAGAGTGAGCTCTGTTGCCATAGAGAGGAATGGATGTGCATTCTCTTATCTCACCCGACTGGGAGCCATGGGATCCTAGGATGAAGAATTCTTCCAGGTAGGCACATGTGCACGCAATTATGCCTAATATACTGTAATGAGTGGGCTTTGTGGAGCTAGTTTCTGTAAAAGCCTGGGCTACTTCCCATCCTGTAATTCTGTGGCTGGAGGGGCCTAGAATCTATAAGAGGAAACTTCCAGATCTGGTCTGGTCAGTTTAATAACCCCAAAATGCAAAGACCTGTGAATTTGGAAGGATGACTATATTTCAACTGGCATACTTTTTCAAAGAGTGCAACTCAGTTTGGTTACCATTTAAAGGGAAAGTGAACAGAATTTCTTCTCCCTCTCATTCCACCCTCCATATTTTGTCACTCTTCATTTTCCACATTGTGGTCCAGTCCTACTCGCTAGACTGTTTTGAGAGATCCTCACCCCCTTTTAGTTTTCCTTTGTAATGACGTCTTAGGCCTCTGCACAACCATGCCTGCTGAAACCTCCGCCTCATGGATGTAAGGTGCCATTTTGGCTTCACAAGCAATACACTCATACTTAGAAATGAAAAACAGAGGGGAAAAGGCTTTTGGATCTGCTTTTAGTGCAAGGCACAAGCTCATGTAAGCCTTGAAAATGTTGCTTTTTCAATCTGGATGCTTTGGAGAAGAAGTCCCTAGCTGGGGATCAAGCGGGATCCAGCGGCTCTCAAAGAGAGGGTGCATCTTCCACTTTTCAAAGGCATCTATCACTCCTCCCGTCTAAAACAGAAACCAGCAACAAAAAGACAACAGTTAACTCAGTTTCATAGCAAAGTGACCATGTTTGAGACACAAAAACACAAAGCAAGGCATGTTGGACCACAAGAAAGATTTCATGATAATAAGCCATTGGGTAGGGATAGGTCTGTTTCAGTTTTTCATTTCCAGTAACTATGAATTACATAGATTCACCTTTCAATGAGAATTGAATCCAATCTCTTGCCCATCCTTACCCTTGGGGGACTTTCTTTTTTAGGTACAATTAAATATG